TTATCATGAAAAAATAATAAGATAAGAAAAAACAATACATAAGTAGACCTGTAGTGTAATTTTGAAATCAATATTTTCATGTGTTACAACGATTACACTAACTAACATCTACGAGTATAGTCGGATAGAATTAGCGAATCCACGAATAAAATTGTCAAGCTCCAGTTTATTCCTTTATCCGTTAGTTGACAACATTACGATTAACATATTTAATTTCAACGCGGATCCGTTCATGCGAATATTGTTAAAAATGTCAAAATTTAAGTTTTTTGCAAATTGCAAAAGACCTTTTTTTTTTAAATAAACTTTATTCACATTTAAGTTACATTTTTTTCAATGTCTCTATTCGCCAAATTGTTCGAACAGTTTGTAGGCATTCCGCTCAATTTATAATAAACTAAGTACTTAAATGCTAGTTTTTAAATTACTACTAGAACGGTGTACTAACTAAAAAACAAAATATATTCCAGACAAACAATACATAAATATGTTTAATCTGACTATTTCCTGGGTACCTGCTTCCGTACTTATGTACACGTTTTAATCTATTGAAATATCCAAACATTTCTTTTAGTCTTAGTTTTAGTTTAAATTTACATTTGCATTTTATTTTCTTTATTTAGTAAGAATGTGGGTTTTATCAAGATCGGCTTTAAACTTGAAAAAAACTGAAAGAAGGTCTTCGAAAGAATGGCTCTAAAAAGTTTCTGGATAACTAGGAGTGAATTTTCAATAACGCTTTTGTTCATCAAGACTTCTTCAGTTTTGTTCAATTAAGTAAAACTACTAAAAAGTCGATTTACAACAATCGCAAATTTGCGCTCCGGCCGGTAAGGTAACCAGTGTTAGAGGGCGTGCTGCCCTAAAACAAAACCCAGTAAGGGACATTTTTTCTGAAGTCACTTTTTGTGCATATTTCGAACTTTTTTAAAATCTTATAAATAACAGATATTTTAACATCATGAAAGTATTCTATACTATATCAAATAACCAGATCAAAAACCTAGTAACTCGTCTTTACTACTTCAAAACCTTTAAGTCACATGCACTTACTACGTTTAGTTATTGTGTGTATGAGTGGATTACAGCCTAAAAGAAGAATTTTTTATAGCCATTCTCCTGAAGGCCTTTTCATCAGTTTTTTTTTCAATTTTGCATAAATTTTAAAGCCGATCTTGCTGATTGTTTGTAGGCTAACTGGACTACAAAACCCACATCCTCACCAAATTTGTGGTCTTAATTTTGATTAGAACGCGAGATATAATTTTTTTTAGTAAAAAAACGCAGTATTTTGCAAAGTGCAAAGAAACTATTCAACCAATTGGGACTCTACAAGTCTAATTTTGTTTGTCTTTTTATTGAGCATTTTTCGTACATTCACACTTTCTTTGTACGATTGAAGTTTTCTTGTAAAATGCGAAAACCGCTTTTGACAGTTTTTGACATTCTTTCTTAACAATGTTCCCATGAACGGATCCGCTTTGAAATGAAATATGCTTATCGTAATGTTATTAACTAATGGATAAAAAGAAAATATAAGTTTTTAATTTCACGATTTTAGACCCATTTTCCGCTAATTATATCCGACTACTACTGATTGACTACTACGACTATTATTGAAAAACAAAAGGTTTTTTTTTACCACACTTTACAGCCTAAATATAGTTATTTGTTTTTTCATATTTTATGATTATAATGCGTTATACGTTATAAAGTACGGAACATGATTTTAACTTACAATAATAGCATAACCCTCAGCCGAACCAAGTAGAAAGATTTTTATACGTATATACGACGCTTTTTATACACGACGCGTCTTTATAAAAACAATGCATGTTTATTACATTTTTATTAAACAATTAACACAGTTATTTCGATTAATTCATTCGATGACGATTATGTTCGATTTATGAGCACTTAACATGCTCCAACTGAAAAAAAAAACTAATTATAAATAAGAATCATTGTTTAAATTTCTTTGTAATAGTGTATACAGTACACATACAGAATAGAATAGACAAGACAAAAAACTCGCTCACAACAGTAATTATAAACGTGAACCATTGTTTAACCCTTAAACAAAGACTTAGTTTAAACGGAATAAATGATTTATAGAAATATAATACCAGAGACACCACAAATATTAAAAAAATATTGGTGGAGGGAAAAGGGATGCTTTTGCGGTGGGTAATTAATTTAGATTGCCCGATAAGCACTGTGAGTTAAAAATGCAAATGCAATGACTCGAAATGTTACAGACATTTCACCCATACATAATACTAGTGTCGTGGGTTTGCTTGGACATTTTTTTACGAGTTTTCAGATTTTGAAATATTTTTAAAATAAAACATTGATTTGAACATTGCAAACGGGGCACAATGCTCGCAGAAAAGTTCTGGAGTGGGGACCACGTACCGGAAGGCGGAGCGTGGGTAGGCCCCCTACAAGGTGGTCCGACGACCTGGTACTAATAATTAGTATCCGTATATGTAGCAAAAATGTTGTGCTATGTAGCAAAAATAAATGTTTCAAAAGAAAAAATGCCACTCCTAATGGTGAACGATGTAGTAATACGGAAAACTATTTTGGGTTCAAATTTAACATCTTACTACCTTATCTAAATAGAATAGTTCAACCTACTACGCACCTATAATTATTTACAATAAAAATGAAAAAATAAAGAATTTTATAAAAAAATTAACCAACTTAAAAAAAACATCACATAAAACTCCCTACCTAAAAACTTAAAAGCTAAAAAGTAAACTGATTTATTTTTATTATTAAAAACTGTGAAAAAAAATGTGCGACTTTTCTGACTAATTAAATCAAAGACTTTTCCTAGTAACTACACTCGGTTCCAAAAATTACGGGTCAGTCACAAAAATTGAAATACCTCCAGAACTATAAAAGTTAGATCAATGAAATAAAAAACAGAATAAAGACTTTTTAGTTGCGCTTCTAATAGCATATTATTTAAACTGGTTGATGAAAAAAACTTCATTAGAAAAACAAAATTAAAAAAAATGACTATTTTTAAAAACAATTTGAACTGAAGCAAATTTGAAACCATTGAAGCCCGCAAATGGCCCCAAACTGGAACGGGGACATCGAATTGCAAGACAGAGATACGTGCACGAGCACCTAAACTGAACACTAGACGATTGGTCTAGGGTAATTTTCACGGACGAGTCTAAATTCATGCTTTATAAGCATGAGGGTAGGCAGTTGGTGTACAGAAGACCAGGGGAGCGCTTCCATCAAGCGTGTGTGGAGGAAAAAGTGGCGTACGGTGGATGCTCCGTACAAGTTTGGGCTGGGATTTCTACTGAGGCCCGCACCGAGCTGGTACTCATTCAAAATGGAACTCTAAATGCAGAGAGGTACGTGGAAGAGATCCTCAATGAACATGTAGGTCCTTTCATGGCCAGGATGGACCGGCATGGCATATTAATGCATGATAATGTACGTCCCCATACCGCCAGAATTGTACATGACTACCTTGAAGAGTATCGAACTCATGCAGTGGCCAGCGCGAAGCCCGGACTTAAACCCCATCGAGCACGCCTGGGACGAGCTTCAGAGATGCGTGAAAGGTCGAAACCCCACACCAATCACGCTTCCCGAGCTCAAACAAGCACTGGTGGAGGAATGGGAAGGTATTCCTCAGCACCGGCTCCGAAATTTGGTGTACAGCATGCCTAATCGCCTGGAAGCTGTCAGAAGAGCTCGTGGAGGCAATACAAAGTATTAAAAGAAGAAAGTGATGAAAAACAGCAAAAAAACAATCATAAAAAAATGTAATCTTAAGAAAAATATGACTACTTTAGTTTTTTTTTTTAATTTAGAGATAAGTTACTCTTAACTAGAGAGAGAGTTAGATTAGAGAGTTAGGTTTAAGTTTTATTTTATTTTTTATCTGTATAATTAAATTCTCAATTGAACAGTCTTCGTTTCATTAGGATGGCATACGTAGTTCGGGAGATATTCGGGTTTATGTGACTGACCCGTCATTTTTGGAACCGAGTTTATAACTTACCTATTTTCAATAAAATTTCTAATGAAAATATAATATAGTATAAAAAATAAAATATCACAAAGTGAAAGTGCACGGATGGTGTAGTGGTCTCATCGGTCACCTCGCCGCTTCCTGCTGCGCTGAGTGTGTGTAGGTACGATCCCCGCATGGAACAATACTTTGTGTGATCCCCAAATTGATGTTCTGAGTCTGGGTGTCTTTTGTGTTTGTAAAGTCCCCCACTACACAGGAATAGATTTTTTACAAATTTTTTTTACAATTAGTCACGTCATGATAAGCAACTACCGCCACCCATGGACACCTGCAACTCAAAAGTCACAAGTGCGTTGCCGCCCTTGGAGTCCCTCCCGCTGACTCGAGCGGGATTTGAGCTCCGGTAACCTCACTCACTCAGTGAAAGGCAACGAAAGAATTGCTTAACACCGGTTTTCTGTGAGGCCGTGATATCACTGCAGTCGAGCCGGCCCATTCGGGCCGAAGCATGGCTCTCACACGTTATAATGCTATATATATATATATATTAAGCTAATGCGGGAGTTGTCTTTAAAAAAAAGAAAGTAACTTCGTTCCGACCAAGGGTCCATAGACCCCTCACGCCGTTTTTTTATATGTCGAAGTCACTCAATTAACTTTTTGTGCTTAATTTTAAACACATTATTGATACACGTTTTGTATAAATAAAGTCCAATTCTATTTATCTGTCTATAATTTTAATGTTTACTCGTTTAGAATAATATATTTTGATTTAATTAACTCAAGAGAAAATAAAGAATTGACGCTGATATTTAAACAAGTAGTTAACTGTTTCACATCAATGTTATAAAAAATACGATGAACGACGCAGATCGTTTTAAAAGTATAAAAGGCGCAGCTTGCACGACAATTCGATAAATTCGCTTTGTGTACGACTGTAAAGTACTATCAGGAAAATTCAAATTCTAAGTGCCCTCAACTAGCTATCATTATGAACAACCCCGAACTTTATCAAGAATGTAATATTATCCAGAAAACTGATGCACTGTCAAGTCTGAAGAAATACGCGTCAAAATTAAAATGGAAAAAGAACAATAACAAGGTCGTAGATTTAGGATGCGGGGATGGCAGCGTCACAAACATTCTGATGGAGTTTCTTCCTACTGATTACCAGTTGCTGGGCTGTGACATAAGCGAGAACATGGTCATGTACGCGTCTAACCATCACAGGAATGAGCGAACGTCTTTCACTTTACTGGACATTTCAGGTCACCTGCCAAAACGCATGAGGGGATATTTTGACCATGTATTTTCATTCTACGCTCTCAACTGGGTTGCAGATCAAAAGTTAGTATTTTTTATTAATCAATTTTAGCTACACAAGTCCAAATACGTATGATTTTATCTTTAAACAATATCAGGAACATACTATGAACAAGAAATCACAACAAAACATGCTTTTTGCAAAAAAAACTAAGCACCTTTAATTGTAAAATGAACAGAAAAAAACATAAATTATTGATATTGCGTTAAAGACAAGACTGGAAATGAAGAATAGCTATTGGCATCAGTTCTGATCTACCCTCCCATATACAATATTGTATACTTAATAAAGTAATGAATCGTATGTATTTTATTATAAGGTTATACTCTAGATATAAGATCACTATGTATACGGGGTGGAGGGTTGATAACCTGAGATATAGGCATATTCCCAGTTCAGGTTTCAACCCACCTATCCTATAATTATCCTATAATTATGGTGGAAAATATACTTATTTTTAATTATTACTAGCTTTTGCCCGCGACTCCGTCCGCGTGTATGTCTGTTATCGCGGCAAAAAGTAGCCTATGTTTTTCCTCAAGAATCAAAGTCCAAACCATGCCACATTTAATTAAAATCGGTTATTGATTTCCCATTCAAACTTCCACCCCTTTTTCATCCCCTTAAATGGTGACTTCTGGAATAAAAACTATCCTATGTCCTCTCCCGGGACTTTATCGCTATACCAAATTTCATGTAAATCGATTCAGCTGTTTAAGCGTGAAGTGGTAAAGGTAACGTAGACAGACAGACAGATAGACAGACAGACAGACTGATAGACACACATTTAAAATATTAGTATGGATTGGTATGGATTTGATTACCTGAGGTGACTCGATGTTACCGATTTTTTGATATGAAAACCCATTGGTCCCAAAGGAAAGTCTCTGAACAACTTAATTGAGATGATCTCTCTTGACTTTGAATATCTTCTTTCTATTCTATTGAATATCTTCTTATTTTTGGAAAACCTGATTCGCTGTATTACACTCATTTACTCTACGACCTTACTACCAGCTCTTAAAGTATTTTGGGTTTTTGGTGGTAAAACCGTGGACTGTTGATGTTAAGATGTATAAAATTTGGTTTCGTATTAGCTTTACCGCTTAACATATCGCAATTTGGACTCAATTTGGAAACCGTTTTTAGCTCTAAGAAAGAATGGTTTTAGGTTCAGACTAACCAGATATTTTTAATGCAGGCAAAGATATAGGTACCCAAAGGTTTCTCGATGATCCGAAACTCTGGTTGGCATGAATTTGAAACTGCTGTCTGCTACTTGTTTTTACTTCTGACCCGCACATCTAGCACATCTCGACATCCAGACTTTATCATAAAGGGCTCACTTTTTTTTTAAATTCGTATTCTCTGTATTTCAAGTAATTTTAAGGGCGCACCCATATTCTATTTCTTTGCATGCAAATGCAAATACTTTTCCTTATTAGCAATCGAAGTAATTTAATTTTTTCATTTAATTAAAATAACCCTAATAGTAAAATATAAAATAATAATAAAAAATAGTAATAATATAAATACCTTAAATTTATTTTTAGTCTATCTCGAAAGCTTTTCAATAGCTACAAAGTCTAACTTACATACATAGACTACACTGTTAATAGGAATAACACACGTTTATGCTCAAGCTGAAAATAAAATTGCTGAAAATATTTGAGTTTATGTAGAAATGTATTTTTATCCCAAAAAAAAAGTCTGAAATACCTTTAATTTATATACCTTTATCTTTTAGGAAAGCTTTCGAAAATATTTTTAATCTACTAGACTATGACGGTCAATGCTTACTGACTCTTGCGGGTTACCACACAATTCACGATGTCTACCGCATCCTATCACGAAACAGCAAATGGAGTACTTGGATAAATGATGTTGAAAAGTACATTTCCCCTTATCACGACTCAGAGGTATCGTTAAATCTTCTTTTATCTTATTAACGATTCATCAAAACGATTTCCACCATATCAATTTACACATTAATAGGAAGGCCAAATTATTCAAATTTACAATGATTCGCATAGAGCTAACAATTTGGTAAAAAATCCCCATCAATACCTAAACAGAACTACATGAAAGTTCGCAAATTCTGCGAATGGCGCAGTTACTCGCCTTCCTACAGCGCTGAGTGTTGTGGGTTCGATTCCCACATGGGACATTAAAAAATTATAGTTCTGAATCTGAGTATTCTTTGTGTCCGTTTCATGATGGTTTTAAAATTCCCAGCGACACAGACTATATTACTACTGCGGGAGTCGCCTTTTCAACAATAAACAAAATTACTATTTCTGCCAGTAGGTTATAATAATCACAAAAGAGTCGGGTCCTCTATAATATGCACTAATACGCCACTAAGGTGACAAGAAATACGATACATTCCTTTCAAGAAGGTTGAATAGACCAAATTTGGAGCTAATTCAGTCCCAGGGTTAGAGCAGGCTAAAAAATTAATGTGGTCATCCCGTTTACCCGATGAAACTACTGAAATTTACATTCTATTAAACAATTTAAAAGCACACGAAGTAAGATTCGTTTCGTATATAACAGAAAGCAAATTCGTTAGCTCGATAAGTATAAAGGAAAATTGTAAAAGAAAACCCTGCAGCTTTTCGGGCGTAAGTATAGTTGACTTGTTTGAGTAGCAAAGGGTACAAACTTGTTATTTAAAACTTGATTGTGAAGCTTAACTTAAAATTTAAACAGTTTTTTCAAACTTCTTTCTTTCTTTAGTGTATAATAGAATAGAATATTTTAAGTAAATAATAATAACTTCACACATCTCACACACGGCTCTCTGATTCCTAACTAGGCAGAGCTTGTACCATGGTAACCAGACTGCTGATAAACATACTAACCTATCTCTAAATTATATCCAGACACAGAATGACTGGGAATCGAACCCACGACCTCCGGCTTAGCAGTCTGGATGGAACGGACTGGTGGTCTAGTGGTTAGTGCCACTAGACCACCAGTCCGTTTTCTAGTTCCTGTCTAAGAGTGATTGAATATTGATTCATAAACCAAGTTGCAATTTTACATTGGTTTCTTTTTCATTGTTCTCATTTTATTAAATTTTTGATTTTCATTCAACAACATTCATTCTGTAAATTTGTTAATTATTTGGTTAACCATTGTTAACCATTATTATTTACAATTTTATTTTGAAATAGTTGTTACGTAAAAATTTTTTTTCAGAACCCAGATGCAAGCATAATGAAACTAATGCAGGCTATAGGATTCGTTGATTGCCATGTGGAGTGTAGAGACATGGTCTTTTCATATGAAAATGAAGATATTATGAGAAGTAATTATTCCTTGTTTTAGTTTTACATTGATTTTTTTTTATGATAAAACGTATAATCCTAATTATATTACGAAGGTACCAAGCACACGTCTACCTTAATAGCCATATATCCATGTAAGGGTTTTGCCCTGTAAACGTACTCCTAGTACGCTCTCACCTCCAAAAAATCTTACAATAGTGTTCAATATAGGCCAATAAACTATTTGGCAGCATAAAAGTAAATATAAATTTATCCGCATTGTTTTTGAATTTTAAAAGTAATTTTATGTACAGTAAAATATAATAAAATGGAATAGTTTTTGTAAAAACCATTTTTTTTTAAATTAAAAGTTGGAACGATGTGAACGGAAGTGATTCGCATAGATTTAATTTATACAGACCTCACACGTTTGCAAATATAGTCTGTCCTTTTTCGTGTTTCTATTAATTTCAACTTTAAATAAATCTACAAAAGTGTGACAGTTACTAATCGTCGACGTGATAACTGCGTGATGCACGTGTATAATAAGCACTATATTATTATCGTATAGCAGGGTTCATAGAGAGCAGTAATGCCCTTTGTATGTGTTCAGAAACTTGTCAAATACCCAATTAATTAAATATTTAATTTAAATCCTTCAGCGCTATTGTTCTAATGATTATTATCATATCACCGACAGTAGATGGCTTACATACGATTAACAAATTCAGTTTTCGTTCTTTTTTCTAATCAATGTTATATCAATATAGTTACACTGTAATAATATGATGTTATTTTGATGTTTCAGAACATACGCTAGCAGTTAATCCATTCAGGATTCCAGCAGAACTGCATGATGACTTTATAGTGGACTACATTCAAGCGTTGAAAGATATTGCAATTAGTCGCAATGCAAAAACTGAAATTTCATCAAAAGGTTTTACCCTGTATTACAAATTACTCATACTATATGGACGCAAACCTACCATTTCGGAAATTTGAAAGAATATAAAATAAACGGATATCATACACAAATATTTTTGGTACTCCGTGCAAATATATTGTGTATGTGTATTTAAAAGAACACAAGTTTACTAACGATAACGATAAATAATATTATACACACGTAGAAATGTCTATGGACTGGTTAAGCGCAAGATCGATTGTTGTGACAAAACTTGGGAGAGGTATAGACCTAACCAAAGTTCGCATGAACATAGGTCTAACAGTGGATGTCTTTCGGCATAGAAGAAGAAGATACCAAAGTCCCACAGGATTTATTGAACATAAATCTTAAACTACACTTACAACGTCACTAAATACAACCTTATTGCTATTTGGACAAGGTAGCATTTCACCTGTACACTTGCGAGTCTTATTGTTGTAGAGGCGGCACGGCAAGGCATTGTAGTGATGCAGTACTTTTGACATTCATGTCAAATAAAAAAAACTGAAATAAATTTTGACTAAATTATTTATATAAGTGGTATTCTGCTATCGTAGATTACTGTACTTATCAACATTTTATTCACTGTGAGCACTAAAATCCATACTAATATTATAAATGCGAAAGTGTGTCTGTCTGTAACCTCTTCATGCTTAATCCGCTAGTTTGGAAAAGAGATAACTTGAGTCCCGGGAAAGGACATAGGATAGTTTTATTCTAGAAATCACCCTTCAAGTGGGTGAAAAGGGTCGTAGAAATTTGTATGAGGTATCAATAACCGCTGAACCAATTTAGATGAAATTTGGTATGGAGATAGTATGAGTTGTGGGAAAGGACATAGCTTACTACGATAACCGACATCCACGCAGGCGGAGCTGCGGGTAAAGCTAGTAATTAAAATTTAAAAAGATCTATACTGAATAATGTATCACAAATAAATGGTTTTGCAAATACATAAATGTTTTAAATGCCCTCCGAATTTGCTCTTCTTTACACAGTATAAAATGAAGTCGCTTTTTTTTCTTGTACGCTTAGATCTTTCAAACTACGCAACAAATTTTAATGCAGTTTTTTACTAATAGTCGTTATAATAGTCATTAAAATTATAATAGTCGTTAAAAACATGTTCTTGTGCGCTTATTTACTAAATTATGTGCTTATGTATATACTAAATAATGTACTACGGAATTCTATATCTTAAAATGATGTACAAAAAAGTTCCCGATGATATATGTCTATCTGCTAAGCACTACAGTAACCAGTTTTTATCTTTAACCTTATCGAAATAAATACGTTAGATGCGTTGTGCATTTAGTATTGTAAGTCCATATTTATATTATAAATTTGAAAGTGAGTTTGTTTGTTACGCTTTCACGCCTAAACCAATAAACCGATTTTAAAAATTCTTTCACCGATGGAATAATATTATCAGCAAGTAACATAGGCTACTTTTTGCCGCAATAACCGTCATACGCGAGGGCGGGGGCAATGGGCAAAGGCTAGTTATTACTAAAATAATATATATAATAAAGTTTTAGTGAAGTACGTACAACATGTTTTATTTTATTTAGTTAGGCACAACTTTATGACACTACTAGCTGATGCCCGCGGTTTGACCCGCACATTTTGGTTATGGCGACCGAAAATAGCCTTATATCCTTTCTAGAGGTTTAAGGCTTATCCACATAAAAATCAAGTCAAAGGCATGAATTGGAATAGAAGTGCCCTTTGCCAACTAAATTTTGAAAGAAATATAATATGCATATCTTAATCTTAAGCATAATCGGAATGTATGTTTCAAGTTTATCTGTCATTGTCAGATGATAGTGTAGAATGTTAGTGTGAAGTATCTGTACTTGCAATCTTTGACGTCTTGTGTTAAGAGAGGTAAGCGTAAATGTCTTATCAACTGATAAATAATGTTATTTAACCCTATAATAAGGCTTTCCACAAAAGGAATTGATTTCCCGAATTAATGCATAAAATACAAACTAAAATTTCATTTCAATTAGAATTCGAAATTTAAATTTCAATTCGAATTTTAAATAATAGTTCTGGACTTAATAACTTCATGAGTTAAAGAAGTTATCTGCAATACTTGAAACATAATTATATTAATATGTCAGGATGTAGCGAACAAAAGAGATTAAGGGAAAAAGTCTTTGAGAGCCAAACCATACTTGTGACTGAAATCGAAGATGGGTAAACGAACTTGGGTCCACCCAATCTAGTCCAGTTAAAACCCGTGAAGACACAGAATTGCGTGACGAACAGTTTTTAAGGTAGTGAATAAAAAATACCGTTTTCAACCTCATGCCACGCGTATTCCTCCAACAATCCTAGTAACAATTTCATGAAGCCAAAATTTTCAGATGTTCTATCGATGGAGAAACAGTCTTATTTCACACAGACTAATCATTTCAAACGATTTTCCTTTCCAATTTAAACGAGGGCTGTTTTCCGTAAGTAGCTTACACCCCCTTTTTTTCCTGTGCGGAAATCCCCTCGGATATCACCCACCGCTTGGGTGATAATGTCGGACCGACCAAAAACTGCACGCCGTCTCAGGTACTAGTAGCCAGTGTACCCTAGAAAAGAAAGTGCTTCTGCTAGGGTGACAGATGGCCTCACCTGTCCCCCCCAGGTCTGAGCTTATAGAGGAGACGGCGGACTTCCACTCCGATGGCTACCACGAATGCACGCCTCTGCTTCATTCATTCTGGGCAGTCTGCCAACGTGTGGAGGGGCGTGTCCACGGTCCGGCCACCGCAGTGATGGCACTCAGGCGTTGGCTCCTTGCGGATCAGACACAGGTGATCTCCGAAACAACCTTTCCCGGTGATCACCTGCGTCAGTACGTATGAGAGGGCTCCGTGACGCCTCTCGAGCCAATCCTCCATAACGGGGCTTAACGCTGCAATAATGGCGTGCCCGAGCTAACACCACCTAAATATAAGTTTGGTTTACCAGCAATACTAAATCTAAATTCGCCTTAAAAGTTCCGCTAAGAAATTTGAAAATTATTACTCCAAACAAATCTCTACCAAATTACATGCAAATTTCTCGCATCCAAAAACATACAGTACATTTTTGTACTCACTAAATTAATTCCAGATTTAGTAGACATCTTCTTGCTAAAGGTTAACATTTTTCTTTAATAATACGATTGAAGTATAATAATAATATAAGAAAATAAAACGTTGCAGTCAGAACTGTGTGAATGACACAGTTTTGACTGCAACTTCATCACGCCTTTACAACTCTATCTAAAAACTGCCGGTGACGTCAATGTATTACGGGTTTCTAACACGATATAAATCACTAAATTTTTACATTTCTGTTTAAACATATGAAGGCGACAGACAGTGACACCCGTCCGTTGCATATTTGGCTCCGTGTATAGAAAGCCGTAACATACATAATATTAGACGACCACGCCTTCAGATCATCTTTGAAACACCACTCTAAAGCCAACTTTGTGTAAGTGATGTTAAACCCATAACAAACACAAATAAAAGACTTTGGCCAAGCTCTCCTTACTTCAAGTTATACTGTGATCTACTATTGCCATGTATGATCCCGAACTTTACCATCAATGCAACGATATTCCGAAAAGAGACGCACTTTTATGTTTGGAAAAACACGCACCGGCACTAAAATGGAAAATGAACAATAATAGAATCATAGACTTAGGATGCGGAGATGGCAGCGTAACCAACATTCTCAAGAACTTCCTTCCCACTGACTACAAGTTGCTCGGATGTGATATAAGCAAGAACATGGTCTTGTTCGCTTCTAAATATAACAGCAACGAGCAGACGTCGTTCACCGTACTGGACATTGCAGGTGACCTGCCAGAAGACATGAAAGGAAATTTTGACTATGTATTCTCATTTTACGCTCTCAACTGGATCGCAGATCAGAAGTCAGTATTTTTTTCTTTAATTTGTACTAGAGTCAGGTCCTGTTTTATAGGTCATTTAGAAGTGTTTGTTTTGTACCTAGAACTTGTAGGCAATTACTTGATTTTTACTCACAGTGTTATTGCCTATTAGATAGTTGCTATGATTTTTATTTTCATTTGTTGACTTGGTGGGGCAGTAGTAGCGTATGCAACTGCTGTGCTGAGGTCTTGTGCACAGGTTCGATTCCCGGATCGGACTAAATGTTTGTGTGATCTGCAAATATTGGTTTCGCCGTTTAGGTGTTTTCTATGTCATAATATGTATGTATTTATAAAAAAAAGTATATAAGTATTTTATCAGTCAAACTAGCTTTTATAGTACAAGCTCTAAAAAGCGCGTAAAAGTGGCACGTCGTTAGCCCCTCTAACAACGTTATGCGGATGACACACTAGTGACGGCGACGCACTGTGAGGCAACCCTGGGGGCCACGGCCGGGGTTGCCCAAGTCGTAGAGCGGATCCGGCGGCTGGGTCTCGAGGTGGCTCTGCACAAATCCGAGGCCTTGTTCTTTCATGGGCCTCGGAGGAAACGTCCCGATTGATCCAGCCTCATAGTAGGAGGCACTCGCATCGGCGTCAAGCCCTCGATGAGGTATCTGGGGCTCTTACTCGATGGTGGATGGGACTTCGGACATCATTTCCGAGGTCTGGTCCCCAAGTTGGTTGGAGCAGCGCGTGCACTGGCGCGGCTGTTGCCTAACATGAGGGGACCCGACGACTCCTATAGGAGACTCTATTGGGGGGTTGTGCGGCGGGAGCCCTGAGGGCCAGCAACGTCGCACTTCTGCGACGACCACAGCTAGTGCTGGCCATCGGGGTCATAAGGGGGTACCGCACGATCTTCTTTGAGGCGGCGAATCTCCTGGCCGGAACTCCACCGTGGGACCTCGAGGCGAGAGCCCTTGCGGTTTTGCAGTGGCGCAAGGAGGCGAGGGAGTTGGGTCTGAGTCCTGAGACTCGAGAAATCGAGAATCAGAAATCCCAGCTCCGCCAGATCCTCGCAGAGGAGTGGAATGACTTGGGCAACCGAGCGCCGGGCACGACGATATTGCGGCGGTAAGACCCGTTATGGAGGATTGGCTCGAGAGGCGTCACGGAACCCTCTCATACCGGCTGACGAAGGTGATCACCGGGAAAGGTTGTTTCGGAGATCACCTATGTCTGATCCGCAAGGAGCCAACGCCTGAGTGCCACACCTGCGATGGTTGCACCGTGGACACGGCCCTCCACACGTTGGCAGAATGCCCGGCGTGGGTGGAGCAGAGGCGTGACCTCGTGGTGGCCATTGGAGTTTGAGTCCTCTCGCTCGGTAGTATGAATGCCGCCATGGTACGGAGCGAGAGTGCGTGGAACTCCGCCGTCTTCTTCTGCGAGCAAGTTATACTTGCGAAGGAGATGGCGGAGCGGGACCGAGCACAAAGGGAACATGGGGTTCCCACACAGGAGGGGGTCATCTACACTCCGTGGATGGCCCGAGGTACGTCGGGGTGCCAGGGACTTCCTTTCTAGGGTACACCTGGTTCCCCGGCTACTGGTACCCGAGACGGCGTGCGGTTTTTGATCGGTTCGAGTAACACATAATCACCCCACCGGTGATTAATACCCGAGGGGATTTCCGTACAGGAAAAAAAAAAGGGACAACGACGACGACACTTGAATGTAACGAAAATCAGATTTTATTTTACCACTTTGTCGGCGTGATTAGTATGTATGTTCATGCGAAATGACAGGATTGTAGCACTAATAGTCTTCGAAAATATCTTTATCTATCTTTACAAATTTCTATTTTCTTGTAATGGGCTAAGAACCGGTTTATTCGGTTTATTAGAGGTTTTTTTGCATTCTAGCTGTGCTGTGCTGTATCTGAGTACATTCATATTACTTTCTAAAAGATATGGGATCACAATATGTATAATTTTGTATAAAAACAGCTGATTAGATGACATTCTATGTATTGCCAACGATTTAATACTGCAATATTTTAGCCTTAGGGAATAATTACCCTCGGGATGTCAATTATAATATTTAATTAGTATATTGTAAAGTTTTTTGGGATGCGTATAATTCTGTCAATATCGACTCGATCTGTATGGTTCCCAACTGGAGGCACAATATGTTTCTTACCACAACGTGTTTACAATGTGTTGTAAGACAATTTAAGTATTGCTATGACCGAAACTCAAAGCAAATTCTCTGTCATTTTAGAGGCTTCGGCGACAATTGTATTAACTTGCCTACTACTTACAATCGAGGTGGGTTCCCAAATCGCGGATGGTGTTCACTTTTTGGAGAGTTGCTAATCGCGACACCACTTGCGAATCGCGTCCAAGCCTAACTGGAGAAGCAAGATATCAAAATTTGTTCTTATTTCTTTATATAGTTTCAAAATATCTAAAAACGTGGCATATTTTATTTAATAGACTATACATATTATTTACGAAAATTAAAAAGTGAATCGGTCCCAAAGTTAATCATTACATAACTCCGGAAGTGAAAAGTGCAATTACAAATATTTTTCTGTACAAAGTTTTTCGCTGCGGCGTCATTCGACTTCGTGGATTTTGCTTCAATAATTTTCACTTCAGCATGGGGCGAAAAGTTATGCGTACATAGCGCTGAAATATTTTCGCCAAAACGTGTGTCGCTACCATCATTCGAAACTAGATACCGTATCTTTCTTAATCTTGTATTTATCAAAACACAGTAAGCGCTTGTAAAACTTAACTTCGGTTTGCGTCGTACGTTACGTTTATTAATGTAATTCCGGAAAGAGTATAAGTAATGATTATAGTTTTTGCAACCAATGGCAAAAGACTCCGCCACTGGTTGCAAAAACTATGATTATATACCTTTATATTAACTCCGGGTTGAAACTGTTAGGTATGTTTTTCTGAAAATGATTTAAATAACTATGTTGATTAAATTATTATTAAAAATCTAATGATGTTGGCGTCTGTACTCGTTCTAGTTTTAAGAAATGGATCTTATTAGAGATACCAGATGCAGCTGTATACAGTTGGTGTTTCATTGGCATTTTGTTAGGCTAACTAGTATATATAACTATTTACTAGGCCCAAGCTTGTAACAAGCCTCATATGTCCCATGGTTGACCCTTAACTCTTTGTGAATTTGCAACATATTCGACAACTTTTAAATGGATAAATTCTGCATCATTGTGATCTAAATTATTTGATAATCTAGACATGACCTATGTTTACATATCATATTCTTTTTACATTTTAGGCAAGCTTTCGAAAATGTTTTCAATTTAATGGACCGGGGCGGCGAATGTTTCATGACTTTAGCAGGATATTTTCCATTTTACGAAGTCTATCGCACTCTATCAAGAAGTAAGAAATGGAGCACTTGGATGCCAGATGTTGAAAAACATATTTCGCCGTACCACGATTCCAAGGTCATTAAACTGTCAAGTCATTGTAACTATTGTTGAAAAGGGTTACCAACTGGACTTAATCAAATCATAAATTAGACTTTCTTCTTCTCAAATTTAATCTGGAGTTAATGAAATCCGCCGTTCATTTCCAGTTTCTTAATTGTTTCCATCATTTTCCTATGTATGCCCCAGGTTGATTGCTCTACGTACGTATACATCAAGATGAAAAAAAAACATAACTTTATGACCTTTAAAAATATTGATAAAATGTAAAAAGTGATTGTTTATATCTTAAAAGCACTTTAAATTTAAAACATTTATTTATCGATGGCATTGACTGCCTCGGTGGTGCAGTGGTAGCGTATGTGACTCCGGTGCTGAAGCCTCGGGTTAGATTCCCGGGTCGGATCAATTGTTTGTAAGATCTGCAAATGTTTCTTTCGTGGGCGTTTTCTATATATAATATGTATGTATTTACTAAAAAAAAAGGATATAAATATTCTATCAGTCAATCAAGTTTCCTAGTACTAGTTAGAGTATAGCCTCTGCTTAGTTTGAAACTAGATGGTGTTGGGTGTGAGAAGTCCGAAATATTATTATTATTGAACCAACATGTAAAATTTTACTAGATTGTTAAACAATGTTCAGAGACAAATAAATGTGTAATGTCAGTTGTTAGTTTCTGTGATTGTTTGTTTGTTAATCATCATCATCATAAATAAATAATTTCAATTATTTATTCGCGGTGTACCTTTTATTAAATATTACATCACTTTTTCAGGCACCAGACATAAAAATTATGAAACTAATGAAAAACATTGGATTTGTAAACGTCAATGTGGACTGTAAAGATATGGTCTTTGTGTACGATAATGAAGAAATCATGAGGAGTGAGTACATTGATTTTTCATATATTTTTTTTCTACAAACGTGAACGATATATATATATATATTAATAAATAAAAAAAATGTGGTTGTTTTACGTATTTAATTTAAGTTCACTTAGAACAAAAAAATTAAGTACGTAAAACAACCACATTTTTTTTTATTTAAGGTGGACCGGCGGGGCTATAAGATAATTTTTAAGATTTAATTCCAGACGGGAAAATAAAGCAAAGGGAAATATGCTCTTTTTAGTAACGGCCATACGTATATTTTTGTCTATGTTCATGGCAAACTATTATTTAAGGAAGAAACGACTAAAACTAGTAGGACAGTTTTTAAGAGAATGAATTTATTAATAAAACGGTAATTGAACGGTAATTGGTGATGGCTATAACTTATAACCCCCAACAACTTTCATTTATATAGAAGACAAAACAGTCTTCTCAATTTAACGCTTTAAAACTACTTTTTTATTTTCTTTTTCTCTATTTTCTTCTTTTGTCTTTCAGAACACACGGCAGCAGTCAATCCGTTCAAAATTCCTAAGAATATGAGTGATGATTTCATAAATGACTATATTGAAGCATTGAAAGACATCGAACAAAGCTACAACGTAACACATGAACGAAACGCTAACAATTCCTCTAAAGATGTTACTCTGCATTACAAATTACTGATAGTATACGGCCGCAAACCTTCTGAATAAACATTAAATGGAAACAAAAAAGGATACTATTAATGAATAACCAAAAAGATAACAATAAAAAAAATAAAGAAAAAATATTTGAAACAAAATCAGAATAAAATCTAGGTTACATTTTGTATATGATTTTCATCTTATTGTCATTAGATTTTCATATAAAGTTTGTTACTAAAGCTAACATAAAACTAGTATATGACTATTTTTAATGTGCAAGATTGAATATAAAGAGGTGAAAACAAGATATAATAAAATTCATTTGCAAACGGCCTGAGCTAGGTGTGAGACCTGTGTTTCTGTGTTCCAGTCTATTAAACAAATGAATACATGTATTGCTTGTTCATCTGAATAAAACATCCCACCAAAAACATTTTCATTTAAATATTGCCAAAACGAGACCATATGGCTCGCACTGTCAAAAAGTTCATCAGTCAGACTCATGTGACAGCTTCTAACTCTACACGACCTAACTCTACAAACCCTTTTTTTATTGACGAAGTGGAAAATCTCTTTGGATCTCCGGCTCTTCGGGGACGCAAGAGCCAGGAGTATGTGGTGTTTCCACTAAAAACCACCGATTTTTTTAAAAGTTAGAGTTTATAAAAAATGATTGCGAAATGAACATAATTAGAGGGATAATTATTATATATATATATATATATATATATATATATATATAATATATATATAACTAAAAGAGCTCAAATTCTTTTAAGATCTCAAGCGCTCCACTCTGAAAAGGATCCGGCTCATGTTATTTCAGGTAAACCAAGATCGACGCCGCGCCTAGTAAATCCCTATCCCGGGGTATCAACCCCGGGACCGTGAACGGGAAGAGGCTCCTATGGAGCCAAGCCCTGTCGCTCAGGGCGATCCTGCTGCGACCGGAATTGGGCGAATTGAACGCTAAGCTCAGCTACCTGCCCTGTCAATTGTTCGTTAGCCGCTTGGAGGCGAGCCACCGGCAATAAGGGCGTCTACCACACCAGATATGGCGGAGGAGGAGTCCTTAAGGTCCCTAACAAATTATGAATATGGCTGACTCCTCTAGTAAGTTGCTGTTCAGTATAGCAACAGCCCACTGCGTAAAGCGTTAAGAACGCCACACCACGTGACCCCTACTGGGGTCCTGGGTCCGGGAGAGCTTCCTTTTATTTAAGGTAAGTAAAAAAGAGATAGATGCGCGTGAACAGACGAGCTACTTAGAGCGAGTTTCCCGTGACCCTTTTTTATTAATAATATTATTATTATTAAAATTTAATTTTCTGGTAGTTAACTTGAGATTTTATGTGAGTGTATTGGCTAGCGTCATATATTCTTAAATATGTATCTATAACACAGTAAATGGGATGACGATGAAGAAGACATGGCCGCCGTAAGTACAAGTACCAGTTTTATTTAAAACTGTGAAAATATTTGTTATACAAAATTAAATACCTAGATCCTTTTTTTTAACTTTAATTAAAACCATATTCTCTTATCATAGAATCAATAAGTAGTTACGTAGTAACTTTACTGCGTAACATCATATTATATACTAACTGTCACGCTTCGCTGTCGTGCACTGTGGTTGCAAAGAATAAATAAAGACTAACTCAAAAAGCATAAACTTAACCCCGTTTTTGCAACATTTTTCATTGGGTTATCTTTATTACCTAATTAATGATGAAGCCATTGTGTAATGGCCTAGATTACAGGGACATAACTCGGGTTTTTTTTTTGGTTATTTTCGATTCGATAACTTCCGACATGAATATAAAGAGAGAGATATATATATATAGATATATAGATCCATGTTGTACGTATATAATAAAATATATGTTTATATTATATATAGTTATATAATCAATGTATTTCAACCCAAACTCAACTCTCGTGTAAACGGGGCCAATATATGTAGATACTTATATAAGAGATCTCGGTAACGGTAACAGTGTCGCGAGTTCAATGGTTTTTTCTCATCTCAAAAAATGCATTCTTTAGTTTGTTGTTAAAAATGCCCAACGCGCCTAAAGAATGTATCACTTCAAAAAATGTGTAAAAATTGCACATAATTTACGACTAAATTTGGGAGAGAACAGATTTTCATTAGAACCCTGCTGACCCTGCTGGGGAAACTGACCCCAGCAGGGCCCCCTATAAATGCTTATAACTTATGAACCAGTGACCGACAAATTCTGATATTTGGCGACAAATTTCAACAAATTAACGACTACATTTTTGTGTCATCAAAATTAAAATCCATGATGGTAGGCAAGCCAGTGTCAGTGACACCTTTATATGTTACTAGTTGACCAGCGTAACTTCGTCTGCTTCCTCAAATTAATAAATTTTCCCCGTTTGCCCAACATTTACATTGATACTAGGCTCCTATTGGTCGTATATAATAATATAGCCTAGATACTTCCTGGATAAAGGGCTATCCAACACTAAAAGGTTTTTTCAATTCGAACCAGTAGTTCCTGTGATTACCCCGTATATCCAAAGTAATAAACTTTACCGCTTTGTAATGTTAGTATAGATAGTAAACATTATATATATTAGATATATAATCTATAAAAAAAAACACCTAAAAGTATGTAAATAATACCTTTCAATTGTTTTGCCTTGGTGCTAACTACACCTTCTTCAGCACCCCTTCTTTTGAGCTCAATTTTCAACACGACAACTTTTTTACTATTTGCGCGTGAATTATTTATTTTTCAATTAACGTTATTTAAGTTTTAAAAGAAAACACTAAAAAATGTTAGGTGGAACAGTGTAGAAACTGTTTTGAATTTTTGACAACGCACATTATTGGGATGGGAGCCAAAGAGGTGCCAACTAGTGGCTTCAATTTTCGTGAAAACCCTCATTAGAGGATGCGGGATTGTGGGGAAAGATTGTATTGTACCTGGCAAGGAATCGCTTAAATTTATTTTTGAAAATGTGGCCTCATACGACCGACCACTCCAGGTCTCGAATGTAATGATAGCATTGCACATATTCAAAACTCTGATGATATCGTGAACGTAACGTGAACGTAACTTTTCAAAATTAAAACTTACAAAAACTTTCTTTGTTCGTAAATGTCTCAGAACCGTTTAACTTCATTGTCGATTAATAATAAGTTTTTATTTGCATAAAGTTACTACAACTTTTTGTTATAGTTTTACAATATTTGTTTTGGTACTTTATAAAATAACAATTTACAGAATTATATTTTGAGCCCTGCTACTTTTACTACTTATAACCTGTTTCATAAGCAGCAGTGTTCAATCGTTAATATATGTAGGTACTTAAGTTGTTTTCGTATAGCGCACATGCACACGCGCACACAGCGTGTATGTGTGTGCGTGTGCATGTGCGCGCGTCTGCATTTGTGTGTGTTTGAGAGTGTTTGTGTCCGTGATACGTGACGAACGTCACGATCGTCCTTATCGTCATTCCGTCATGTAGGGCGACAAAAATATAATGATTTGTGTGATAGTAAGTTAAGAGACGTTGATTTTCCTCGAGATTCACATTTGCAGTAGCAAGGCGTGCAGATTGCAGGAACATAAAGTTACTCTGGGCAGTTTGTATGAGTGGATTGTAGAAATACGAGTACTGTGTAACAAATGCGTGAGAAGCGAAAAGTAGATTAAAACTTTGTCAAAATAACGCTGATCAAATTTTTATGGACAGTAGTATATGGCCTTAATTTTCAATAAGTGCATTGAGTGTCGTGTATTTTCTGACCTAATGAAATATAGTAAGATGATACAAATTATAGACCTATTTTGGTGTTACCTACTTACAGTAAAATTTTTGTAGAAAATTATACTAGATCAGCTTCAAACTTACTTTATTGTAAACAAAATTCTACACAGGAAACGGTTCGACTTCAGTATAGGTCGCTCGACAAGTGATGCTGATGTTGAACTTTTACAAAATATATTTAGTACCTGGGAGGATAAACGGGTTACGCTGGGTATTTTTTTGTGTTTTGTCTAAGTTGCGTTTTTCACATTGATTGTGAAATTGCATTACTATTGAATTAGGAATACTGCTTTGGATATAATAATAAAAAATAAACTAGTTGTGTTAAGAAACGCTTACAGTTTGGTTATCTGTGAATAATTTAATTAGTAATGAAAAAGACACCTAATATTTATAACTGTTTTAACGATATTATTTAATTACCTTCACCGTCACCACCACAATGTATATAAAAATGGCGTGATGGGCTCTATAAACGATATGGGTTTACGATATCACACAAACACTCAAGTTACTCACCATGCATAACGCAGTTGCCTATAATAAAAGCAACATTATTCATAAAAGAGAAATACCAGAATATTTAGAAAAATATGTACCGACGCTGAAGTGGAAGAAAAACAGTTATAGGATCATGGATATCGGAAGTGCAGATGGCAGTGTCACTACTATTCTTCAGACGTTTCTTCCACCGGCCTCCAAGATACTGGGCTGTGATATTAGCGAAAACATGGTGAAGTTCGCGACTGACAACTACAGTAACGGTCAGACATCTTTCATTGTACTGGATATTGCTGGTGACATTCCGGAAGACATGAAGGAATCATTCGATCACGTGTTCTCATTCTACACTCTTAACTGGGTTAGAGATCAACAGTTAGTATTTTTATTTAAAGTTTTTTTAAGAAGCTTAATCTATCTTCTTAGTATAATCGTTCAATATAATTACAGCCATTTAAAAGCGTCTGACCGAAGACAATATAATAATCAAAAACTTTTCGTGATGTCCTTAACATTCAGAACATTACGAAAAGTTACGTAAGTTACGAAAAGATACGTAAGTTACGAAAAGTTACGCAACAACGTTAACTCGTAACCTTTTAATTACGGGTTAACGAAAAACATTATTTTAGTTAACTTAATCACATAAACTTTCTTTTACCTTCTAGACGTGCTTTTGAAAATATCTTTAATGTGCTGGAGCAAAACGGCGAGTGTTTTATGGTTTTAGGGGCTTACAACCCAATCTTTGACGTGTACCGCACCCTAGCAAAGGATAGCAAATGGAGCCCTTTTGTATATGATGTGGAAAGATATATTTCACCGTACCATGACTCTCAGGTATCATGTTTTACTTTCTTACTACCATGACAATACTGATCCTTTTCGTGCATTCGAGCCATTTCAAATAATTCATGTTTAAACATTAAGAGCTGAAGGCGGTTCGCCGGAGTGAAATACTGCTTCGATCTGTTCAGCACACCGAGCTTCTTAGAGGCCACTTTGACCTTGCCCTCTAAGTGACCCCGAATCTGAACTTCGGTCGATATGTCGATGCCTAGGATTCCGATACTGTCTGAGGCAGTTATGGAGGTAATACAAGAGGTCTTTGCATGATGCTTGACGAGGCGCCATGCAATCACCCTTTCGAAGAGTTTGCACACCTCGTCAAGCACACTATGGACCGGCAGACAGACGGTGAGTCCGCCGAGCGCCCCTTCTTTCGGATAAGGACCAGTTTCCCCGTCTTCCACAATTTCGTAAACTGGCCCTGATTGAGGCATGCGCTGAAAAGCAGTCTCAGTCGGGGCTCAAGAGCTACGTCATCTAAAGCCAGGATGCACGCTCGGCCTGGAATACCATCGGGTCCAGACGCGGTGTTTTTGGCTTTAAGCCGTCGCACCGCCAGCTTTAGCTCTACGATCGTCATCCACGTTAGGCGCCTGGGCATCAGAGACGCAGCCATCTATTGTGGAGTGTGTTCCACCACTCGGGGAAGTTTTTTCCCCTGGGATAGGGCCTGATTCGGTATGGTGTCGATTCGGGGAGACCTGAAATCACATGGCCGGACCATGTGATTTCGTTCTCCGACCTTCAGGATAGTTTTTAGTCGAATCACCACCATACTCCTAACTCATGAGTCCCCAAGGAGCAGAAGGTTTAAAGGTATTTTATACCCCGTCAGAAAAAAAAAGGTATTCGAGCATATTCTCTGTCGCGGGAGAAATATCCCAGTAAGTATCGGCGGTATAAAAAAATACAGTATTTTTCTATTTCTTTACTGAAAGGTGCAAAACAAGTTGGTGATATTTCTTACAGTGTACCCTAGTGCTTAATGTCTTAAATTTTTTGAAGGTAAACTATTTTGAACATAAAAATTAACGAAACAATTACTCTGCCTATCAGGAACCTGGTGAAGAAATAGCAAAACTCATGGAAAATACTGGCTTCGTCGACGTCAATGTGAAATGTAATGACAAGTGCTTTTTATTCGATGATGAAAATATGAGAATGAGTAGGTATTTTTTATTTTTATTGACCATAATACGACACAAAAACAACGTCTGACCTTTATAAGTAAAATTATCGCCTCATCCCAAACTAGGCAGATGCCGTACTACGAGTGTGGTAACCAGACTACAGATAAACATAGTTATATATTTCTAAAACCATGCAAATATTACTATAAATAAATCACCCCCGACACAGAAAAAAATATCGTTCTCATCACACAGTTATTTATCTTGAGTGGGAATCGAACGCACGTCCAGTAGTCAAAGAAATGACGCTTCAATTGGTGTAATTTCAGTCTCGTGCATAGAACCAGCTTATAAATGTTAACTTTCTTTTCTAGGTGTAAGCTAAGATGAGTTGAAATGTGTTTCAGCCACATAAATTAACTTAAGTATTTTTCAGGTCTTCTGTCAGCACTCAACCCTTTCGAGATACCGAAGTACAAAATCGATGAATTTAGAAAGGACTACAATCAATTAATAAACAACATTGAAAGTGTGCATCAAGTCGAAACTAACCACTCTCCGGAGTATGCTACATTGCACTACAAATCTATTGTAATATATGGTCGCAAACCCTTAGCTTCTTAACAGTTAGAAGCAGAATGATCTGCTAATAACCGCATTTTTTTTTTCTTATTATTCATTTTAAAAAGTTAATAAAAAAACTTATGCACTCTGCCTGACTTGTAAAATAAACGACCTAAAGCATCCTCAATTGAATTTTTTGTTTAAGTTCTGCAAAAATCACCTAAAAATAATATCATTCAAACTATTATTGGGTTATTTACGTACAGCGATTTTTTTAATAAATCTAAATTTGCTTCAGACAAAACTTATACGAGTTCCAGAAAGGATCGTGAGAATCGAGATCGAGAGAGATGTCGAGAAAAATATTCTTTATAGATTTTTTTTAAAATAATTATTTCCACTGGATTTGTGTAATACAAATTAAAACATTATAACCAATTCTCTTATGTACAGTACACAGACTGTTAATGAAATGTTAGATCGTCTTTTAGAGTTATTTCATAATTATTTAATATTTACATAATTATTCATAATCTCATGCCGAAAACTACTAAAAATTAATACTCAAGCCTAAAATTTAATGTTTCAATGAAATACAGGTTTCAAATGATAATGAATAATAATAACTTCACAAATCGATTCCAAACTAGGCAGCTACGGTAACCAGACTGCTGATAAACATACTTACATATTTCTAAATATGTACATATTATAGATAAATACCTATTACGTTCTATTATTTACATCCACAACATCCACATTTACAATAATTTCAATTTTCAATTATGTCTGTGTAGTGATAGATTAAGAATACCGACTGTCACCACTCCTATTCATCTCGTGGACGATACCCACGAAGAGCGAACTAAGGGAACAAACTACGCAAGACATCAACACTGCAAGAAGGAAAACTTGACACAAAACCTCTTTTCTGAGGATATGTCCAGCAGTGGACTACTAAATGCTGTTGATGATGAATTAAATCGGCTATTTATTGTTGTAATTTTCGAAAAATGGACCGACGACTTGAAGAAAGTGGCTGGCAGCGAATGGATGCGAACTGCCCAAGAACAGGATGGTTGGCGCTCTTTGGGGGAGGCCTTCATTCAGCAGTGGACGGCGATAGGCTGATGATGATATAGAACTTGTATTTCCGGTTACCGGCCGTTCGTACATACCAGCTGACAGACAACTTGGTATAATAGAAAAAAATATATTAAGGAAATTAGATGTCATATTACATCCGAATGAAATATGTGAGATAATAGGAGAAAAATGGGTACAGGCTGTCGTGTCTACAACTGGAGAGACGCTGTGAAGAATGTCGTAAAGGTAAGAACGTATTGGCCTTGGCCTATAGCTTTTGCACAATGTAAAAATGTCTTTTAAAAAGGTCGATATTCAAATCAGTGTGTAATGTTCTGAATAAAGTCTATTAGAATTATTATGATTTAATGTAATGAAAAAATAAAGCTTTTAATATTACGATGAAGAATACTTATTGTAAAACAAACAATAAATAATTGGACTTTCACATAATGTTATTTTTTTTGTTTATATTATAACCAACCTTCTAATGTTTTTCTGACATTTGTACCATTTCTCTTTCATGTCATTTGTCTTGCACCATAAATTAGTTAACCAGTAGGTTAACTACTTTATGGTGCCAAAGTAAAATTATTGTTACTTTGAAAGAAAAAATCAAATATAAACATAAAGGTATAAGCGTTGTATTGTTTTTTACTTGATATTATCAACAATTTTTAAGCTATTGCATAGCTTCTATCGCGGGCCTTGAGCGTGGAGACCCAGGAGCGAATCCAGAAATTCCGTAACGAAAATAACCTAACACCCACCACTGACCGGCACAGCGGTGATACTTTTTAGTTTTGCCATCTATCGATGAATAGCATAACTTTTAATGGCTTTTTTGAAATACCACGCTTGTCTCTTTGGTTCAGCAACTCGCCTCTAGGTGGCATTGGTTGTGACGCGGTATTTTCCAGATATTTGGGACATATCAAGTCTCAAACCTATGTTTCTTATTTCAGTTACCATAAACCTATAGTTTCAATGATAAATATTCCTGAATAACCTACATGTATTGTAAGATAATAAAAATATTTTGAACAATATTAACTTCTCATTTATTTAATAAAAGAAAAAAAATGTTTTCTTATCGGTCACCACGCTCAAAAAGTGTAACTTGAATTAATATCAAAAAAAAAAAGGAAAAAAAATACTGCATGAATAAAATAAATAAATAATTATAATTGCATAAGTTGATAAAAAATGCTATGCAATAGCTTTACCGCGGAAGTCCCCGAGTGCCACACGTCTTTTTTTTTTAAAGTAAAACTTTTCAAGTTATATAAAAAACCATAAATATAATTATTACAGTAAAACTAACTAACCTAACCTTTCAATGTATCACTTGTATCAACTTTATTGTAGATGGCTCTTATATACAAAATAAAAATTTTGTTTCCAAGGTGTCATGTCATGTTTAGATCATAGACTCACAGACGTTATTTTAAATATCATTATTTTAAATAAAACATTATACACTGTTTGAGAGCTATAGTAAAATATTCTAGCGAAAGTCAATTAATTCTGAGGAAAGTGTGGACGATCATATTAATTCAATAACAGTTTACAGTTATCAAAAATATAATAAATGGCGACAATTTCTAGGAAGTCTGTAAGTACAACCTAGCAATAGACTTAGTATCTATACAATCTTTTTTATCTTTAAATCTTTTAAAAGTATATATAGTAAAATATTTAGTCGTCAAACATCGGATATTTTATGTCGCGGCGCATAATCTAAGCCTTTTTATCGAATACCTGAGAGTACTAACATTTTCCATTATGCATTGTCTGTCACACATAGGTACACAAATGTACAGTTTTTTTTTTTAATATTTTCTATTGAAACTGTTAAATTATTGAAACAATTTTATTTCTTTTAAGGCCTCACTTTCTTCGGCGGTAATTAGAGAACCGTCAGAAACCTATGAACTACCGCTTGATACATTGAATGTTAAGATCCGAAGTCTAAGGCTCCCTGACGAAGATCCTATGCAATTTGCCATAAAAGTGACTTACTTTGATCAATTGTTAGTATCCAGTGTGATCATGGCCATTGGTGGTAAGGATAAAGAACGAACTAAGATTTTAGCTGAAGGAACAATGAACTACGATCCCTCAGACTACGAAAAAATGTGCTTGTTTGCGGATTGTCCACTAGTTGGTAGGTTTCACAATTAATTTTTGATAGACAATTTATACTGTTGACTGATGGCGCTTAATGGAACTTGCTACACAATTGAATTATCACTTGTACTGTTCCACAATATTTATTAAACCTGACTGGTTTCACCTCACGGCAAAGGGTATTACGACAACTAACAAACATAACATTTTTTTAAATGTTATATCAATAATACTTACAATGTAGGTACTCGTAAATCAAAATAATGTAGAATACCAGTTTCTAAATTTCACCGTCTTTTTTTCTGTGCGGAAATCCCCTTGGATACCACCTACCGGTGGCTATGTCGGATTCGAACCTACTAAAAACCGCACGCCGTCTCAGGTACCAGTAGCCGGGGAAATCCCTAGTACCCCGACGTACCTCGGGCCATCTACGGCGGGTAGATGACCACCTCCTGTGTGGGAACCCCCATGTTCCCTTGGTGCTCCCAAAAGGGCACTCGCGCTCCGCGCGCCGTGGCTGCATTTGAAAGAATCATGGAAGAGATTCCTAAAGAAGGGTGGGCATCGTCGCATGCGATGTTCCGTCGATAGTTCCATCGCATGCGACGGTGCGTAAAACAGAAAAGAGATAGTTAGAAAAAAAAGTGTGTGTGTGCAATTCACACACGGTAGAAGTGAAACTTCCGAAAAACCCTATAAAATTTTAGCCGGCCCGGGAATCAAACCCGCTAAGGCAGCGTTATTCAAGTTCCACGCGAACGAAGTCGCCTAGTCGGTACCTAGCTAGTATTAAATAAAAATATTCAGACTGTCAAAATGCTATATTAGAAATAATGAGTAGTGTATTCTATCTCGAGCTTAAATCACAACGATTCTAAAGAAGTTTCACTTCAAAAATAAGATTATTCTATATCATTCCGTTTTTTTCTAAAAACTGTCAGTGTGACCCCCGTAGTCACCACTTACAAAGCCCCCACCAAAAACATTTTCATGTAAAATATTGCCAAGACGAGATTATATGGCTCGCACTGTCAAAAAGATATCAGATATCATGTACGTATAGTCCATTTTTACAATTGATTACTGTCAAGCTAATTTGCTGTGACTAGCTCCATTTTGATGAGACGCCCAACATTCCTATTACAAAAAGTTTCGAATGTGGTAGCTAACAGGGGTAGCAGAGATAAAATGTGACGATCTGACGATTCTCAAAAATGTATTACCAACTGTGGATTTTTTTATTAAATCTCAAGAAAATTATTAACACTTGAAAAAAATATTTATTCTACGAAATGTATGGTTCGATCAAAGAGTCCTTCCAAGATGTAAAAAATGATTACTAACTAGCATTTTTGCTGTTGCCTAGATATTATTTATACAATTTAACCGCTACATTTTCGTACAAAGTTATCCTGGACCTACGCTCAAAAATTGTTAATACCAGAAGACCTTATTACTAACTGTAGGACAAAAATATTACATAATAGGTAAGTGTGTTCTCTATCCAAATTAAGCAATGTCCTACAAGAAAACAGGTATGTGTCACTAGTCCGACAAGAACTGTCTTCTTCGTTTTTCTATTTGTAACAACACAAAGTCAAAATATCTTTTTCTAATTTTTAAAAAACTTTATTTTCTAGTAACACAAATACAAAAATTTGTGTTTTTACATTTAAAAAAATCAGACCATCGTATATGAACTGATGGTATGATTTTTTTTTCTATAGAATATACTAATAGAAATAACTTTTTAGTACGCATATGAATGCGTACTAAAAAGTTATTTCTTCAAAGGCAAACGTGGTTGACTGAAAAAATCTTTGCACGGTTATGGTCGACACTAACGTGGGTCGTTACATGGTATGTTACATTCATAATGCACGCACAAAATATTTGTTCCGTAACACCATACATCTATTAATGCATTATAGAACAAAACATTGTAATAGTAGTGTACCAACATAACATTTGTAATAGTACAGATACGAATAATTCGCTCCATCATTTCACGTCGCTCGATTAAGCACCATTACATATCGCCTCTTTGCTTCAACACTAACCTGTGATGTTTATATTAGCTTCACTTGTATGTTTGTTTGTAACCGACTCCTTTGGGCGTGATTTTGACTGACTTTAAACGGTCAGAATTCGTTCAAACTTTGTAGATACATATATCGAGGACCGATGACAATACACTAATTTAAAAAAAAAAAAATACTGTGTTGGGTGCCTGTTGTCAATAGTAAAAAGCACCCCACGCTTTTTTTCAAATTTATTACAATTGATTTTCTATTTTTTAGTTTGGTTTTCTATGAAAAGCGTGTTTTTTAGTTTTTTTGAACTATTTTTTTTTTTAATTTACTTTTCTGTTGTAATTGGTGCACTTTCGGAACAAAGAAAGGCATTTTATGAACTTTTTGTAAGTAATTGGCACGCGCGCTTGCTGTGAAAGGTTACGATTCTACTGACTGCAATGGTCCTAAATAGGACTCATTAACGCCGACGTACGCGCACGCGTTAGTAATAAATAAATTAAATAGTCAGTAGTAAATTTCCGAGAATCGTCAAATCGACTTATTTTATCCCTACTACCACTGTTAGCTCTCCTCCACCAGGTGGAGGTACCAAAATCGAGAATTTTTGTGAGGGAAATGTTGGGCGTTTTATCAAAATAAAGCTACTCACGGTAAATTAGCTTGATAGTAATCGATTGTAAAAATGGACAGTGGATCCTGGACTAGTAGGTCACTAATTAAGTTTTGAGATGCTCGAAATTTGAAAATGTTATATATTATTAAAACGCAAAATTATTTGAAAATCAAAAACAAAAGGCAGCTTATACTCGTAGCAATAAAAACAAATTTAGAAGTTATACTGTCATCATTGCCCGCTTTTTCGTCTACTACAATGGAGTTTAAACGGAGATTTATTACGACTCTAAAGATGGTTCATTTGAAGATTTAAGCTTAGAACGTTCAAAATCAGCTTTAGGTGAGTCTGCTCCTTCTCGGGAATTTTTAGATGGTTTAATTAAAAGGGGGAAACTCTGCTAAAAATGTGTGGACTACAGAAATGCTTGTGCGAGATGACCCACGAATTACTTACAAGGACATAGAGAAAATCTTAGGCATCAGTTCGGTTAGTGTTCACACCATATTACAGGAACATCTTAGAATGAAGAAGCTATGTTGTCGTTGGATAACCTTGTTTGCTCTCCGAAACGGAAAAAGAAGCTCGTGTGGTGCCGTGAGATGCGTCTAAGTTTCGAAAATTGGAAGTCAAGATGTGTTTCTGAAGTCATTACTGATCAATTTGATCCGCAAAAGCAAGAAGTGTTCCTGGGTATAGATGTTTCCTGATGGCCAGTTGGTAACAAAATTGTAAAGACCGCGGAACATTGGCAAAAAAATGTTGATCAGTTTTTTTCACATAGTGAACATCTTGCAACATCAATGCTAGAGAATCGTAAGTCTGTTAGCTCAGAATGGTACAGTACAGTCGCATGGTCAAACGTTTTCAAAGCTGTGCAGGAAAGACGACCAAAGACCAGACTTCGGGGAATGATGCTGCACCACGACAATGCGTCTGCAGACGCACTCCACTCTTCCCTCAGAACAAAGGTATTTAGTCACGAAACGGGTATTGACTTAGCTCCTTGTGACTTCTTTTTATTCCCCACCATAAAAGATAAAATAAAAGATAAGTTTTTTTCAAGTGCCGAAGAAGTGGTGGCTGCCTATGAATCATTTTTGACCTATCGTAGGCAGGCTGGAAGAAGTGTTTCCAATACTGGTTTAGGCGGATTGAAATGTGTATAGAGAGTGATGGAGAGTATTTTGCAAAAATATAATATAAATTGTAAGTATATATTGTTTACTTTTTGCGTGTCTCAAAATTTATATAGTGACCTACGTAGAGCCAAACTTCTAACTCTACACGCCCTAACTCGATGTCTAATTTAAAAGTTTTAATGGTTCCTTATTCATTACATGCATTACAACAAAAGAAACATGACTTAAGAATGTTTTATTCCGTTAAACCTCCGGGAAACACGTCGTTATTTTTTTGTTTTTTTGTATTGTAGTCATCATCCAACCTTTAAGAAATCTGGAATCAATCGAATCACAGCAATCATGGACCACAACACAAAGTGTTACCCGCTCAAAATCAGCCTCTACAAAGACCAGTAGCATAGTAAAACCAACGGACCTCTCCTGTTGCAACGTCGATATTGTACAGATTTTCTTAGGAGACGAAGGTTTGTCTTTCAAATGTTTACTCGTAAGAAAGTTGTTTTCTTGGTCTTGAGAACGTCAACCTAGCATTAGGTATAACTAGATGCCATTATTTATGATTGCAGCGAAGACAAAGATTTGCATACAAAAACGTATGGAGCCAATGATCAAACCACCGGTTCTCCAGTGCAAGAGCTGGGACTGCTTACCGCTGCTGACGATGGAAGTTTCAGCCACTCGACATAAAAATAATGCTGTTCATCATAAACACCTCAAAGAAGCTAACATGATGCAATTAACATTAATCGCCGCATACAATTTGATTGCACCCCCTGAAGGAGAACGCGTATATACCGCAATATCAAAAACTCCACTTTATTGTGAATTTGTGAGATTTTTTAGTTTAACATACAATTTTTAATATAGGATTAAATCTCATGTTATGAAAAGTGAGTAAGTGAATGAGACAGAAGACTGTGAAAGATTGAAGATCTATAAAACATTGACAGATTGATGTAAAATATCATATCGCGAATATTTCCAAAATTTCTGAAAGACGTCTTTCAGAAATTTTACGAAATATTCGCGAAAAAAAAATGGTGGTACGAAGTTCTTCCATATAAATAAAAATGAACCGCTGCAATGTATGTACGCGAATATTTTGAGAACAACTGCACTAAATTCTATAATTATTTCTTTGTGTTTATTATTGTCAATACAAGGTTTGTTAGAAGAAAATTTTAAAAAGGGAATGTTTTTTTAAATCTCATAACATGAAAGTGAGTGAATGAAACAAGCTGTGAGAGGTCTATACTAATACTATAAAGAGGTAAAGTTTGTGAGTTTGTATCAGGTATTAGGTAGTCTCAGGAACTACGGGTTCGAATTAATAACATCATGATGCGAACAATAGGAGCCGAGTAGCAATAATAAGTGTTGCGAAGACGGTGTTTTTTTTTAAAGAAGCAGACGAAGTTGTGTGGGTCAGCTAGTATATACGTAATTAACTATTAATTATGTTAAATATCATAATTATTTCCAGAATACAGGACTTGCTCGGTTCAATGAAGGGATCAAAGCATCCAAAAAATTTAACCTAACCAACTTCTACGCAAAATGGGAAAGTCTAAGTGTCGGAGAAAACTCGTTTGCAAAAGGAGACGTAAAGTATCCATTTAATTTCAAGGCGATACGGAACGAAGATAAATTAGATCTTTATCCTTACTTGTTCAAAATGCCTCAAGACAGTAAGTTTTTTAGAACCATGTTTTCACGATCGTCAAAATTTTATTTGAAAACGCTTTTTTTATCACAGCTACTGGTTAAAGAATTTGCATCGAATTTATTTTTACTACATTTGTTTTGTTTCATAAAAATATCTCTATTACAGACACAATTGTGTGGACATCTTTTCATCGAAGCCTGTTAATAAAAAAAACATCGGAAAATTGGTTTGCGAAACATATTCAGCAATACAAATGGCCCCTAGAAATTTACATACAAGCCAATGAAAGTATTTACAGTTTTATGGCGTTCATAAACTTGTTCCACTTACTCTATCCAGGAGGTAATTTTTATTTCTGTACTTTATTCACTATTTAAATGCCATATTCAAAATATAGAAGAATAAATATCGCTACATAATGTTTTATAATCCAAATTAATATCTTCATCAACATCATCAAAGCCTTTAATAGTCCACTGCTGGACATAGACCTCTCCCTAAGAAAGGGGGTTAAGGCCAGCTATACCGCACTGGCCAGACGGTTTGGTCGATATCAACAAACCCGATGGTTTATTTCAAGTTTTCCTTCTCTTTGCAGTGCTGTTGTTCTGTGTAGTTTTCTCCTTTAGTCGGCTCTTACGACACCCACATGAGCATAAGATCATATGAGGGTCTTTGTCTCATAACATATACTCGTACTAGCTAGGCTTGTATGAGAACCAGAATCTACCTACTTTCTGTTTTCTCTGCAGCCCCAATGGTATACAGAGAATGCCTTAGACATTAATTCCGCGGTGCACCAAATATGCATGATATGTAAAAAAACCACATATTCTTGAAAATACACGAACAGCTAAGAATGTCTTCTTAAAATCACATTAATAAAATTCATTCATTCAACTTTTACAACAACAAGTAAAACGTAGATGGTGTGCACTCCATGAACTAAATTATCTTTTTTTTAATACTTTAATATTATTAGTATAATAGAATTTTGTTTTTAAATATCAATATTATGAGTTTATATATGAATGGAAAAGGGTTTTGAAATTACATAAAACCACAAGTACGATTTGCGTTCTAAAACAGAATTGAGCCAAAAGGTGAATCGCTCTTCAGTAGCTATATACAAGTACTAGTAAGCTCCTCGAGGTTGGGTTCATCCGACTCGTTGTGAGTATCCCAGCAGATTGGACTTCGTAAGGATGGTTTGATAATGAGGCTAGGAGATAGTTCGCCATTTAACTACGTTTTGTAATTTTAATAAATATGATTATTAGATTTTGATCTATTAACTATTCTATTAACCATTTTATCGTGTTTTAGAGAAATCAGTTTGCCTAGCGGTGCCTTTACTATGGCTGAACGAAACAGCAATGATGCAAGAATGTGACTGTGCGTCCTTGAATGTTGCGGACAACAAGGCGGTCTCATCTAGTGGCACCATGCAGAGACCTGAAAAGTCAGTTGATAACGTATTTTCGGTTTAGGTGCAGAACGTCCAATTTGCAAAATAACATTTTGCGCCTAAACCGTGTTTTTCTAGTCATGATGGAGCTGCAAGTGCTGGTATATGCCTAAAGGCGTATACCAGCACTTGAACAACACTCTTTTGCTTTATATTAAATAGCTATTCATATTTAAGCTTTAAGAAAAAGGGAGCACAGTGGGCAAAGATATACGGTATATGTTTAGTGTTGCAAACATGTGCATGTGCACTATTTAACATCACCTAATACTTGTTTCAATTTATAAAAATGAGACATACTATGTATGTACTATTAATACTCGTAAATTACTCAGAATATCCTAAGAAATCAGTATATACTAAGAAAAACCTTATGGCATTTGACTGGTCCACGAGACCGACGTGGTACTCTTAACAAATTTCCGTAATAATAACAATGTCTATTAAGCAGATTACGTTTTATATATTACTAAAAAGATGGGTGGTGAACTATTTATTCTTATGATAGTGCGATTATTAAACTATCGATAAGACCTTCTCTTTCCCTGACAATCTGTTCGAGTGCTTCGAGCATTGTTTTTTTTGTTTGCGCTTATTCCAAATAAATCCATGTAGTTTACCACATGTTTTGCAAAATTTCCTATTTAAACTGACAATTTTAATTTACACGGAAAAACAGACTTGCAGTTTCGATGGCATTAATCAGGTCTATCACTAATTATAACTTGTTTTCACGAAATGGCAATAAGTTATACCTTTTAAAGTGATTTCGTCTTTACGACGATTTTGTTTTTGTATAATTCAGTAAAGCAAACTACGAGTAATTTTTAAACTTTCGGGTCCCGAAATATGTAATTACTAGATTAGGCCCGCGGTTCCACCCGCGTGTTTGTCGTTTATTGCAGCAAAAGTAGCCTATGATACTCACTGAAAATGTAGCTTTCTATTGGTGAAAGAATTTTTAAAATCAATCAATTAACAAAAAAATCGCGATCGTGTTACAGGTATTAACCTTTCGTTGCTTTTCACTGAGTGAGGTGGCAGAAGACCAATCCTCCCCCCACCGCCTTCTCTAATTCTGGGGGGGGGGGGGCAAAAAGCGGCAACACACTTGTGATTCTTGCGTTGTAGGTGTTCACGGGCGATAGTAGACAGGTGATCCATCTGCTCGTTTGCCCCCTAATCATAAAAAAACCTGGGACCATGCCCTGTGCAATGTTTTTTTTTATTTATTTTAAGACAACTTCCGCACAAAATATATCCTGTATCACGGGAGACTTCACAAAGAACCATCGAACGGACACAAGAAGCACCCAGACTCAGGACAACAATTTGATTCGTCCAAGAATTTAGCAACACTTCTAAAGAAAAAAATTTAAAAATCTACTATTTTTATTTTCGTAATTTATTTTATTCTGGTGGTTAGAATTTACAAAGGCACTAAACGTGTTGCATAATTCAACAATTGTTGGAGTTAGTACACACATATATTAAAATATGATATAAATGCAATTAGTTTAATTTTATTCGTTACTGTTAACTCGCATATTCATTCAGGAAATTGTAAGGTAGTCAATTTACAATTATACTTAGTTCGGTTCTGTATTTACAATTACTTACAACTTGTAAAACATCTGAATAGATTTACTTACAAAAAAAATATCATTCAACATTTAGTATTCTCACAGTTGGTATCAATTAATCGCGCTTGCGCATATTTTTACAAATAATTTCCAACAACAGAAAAACATTACAAACGATCGAAATTTCTTTCCGATGTCTAAATTAGTATTTTCAATCATATCACAAAAACACGAAAAAATGTAGCGCACACATACACATTCATTTCTATTTATGCTTTTCACTAATAATTTCTAAAACTATAGAAAACACAAGTTGTTAACACAAGGCGTTTTATTTTCTATAGTATAGCTTAACCATTATTTTTCAGTTATTTTAAAATAAAAACGTAATTCTGTATGTTGTTACATAAGCGATTAGCTTAACAATAAAAAATCTGTCTTAATATTGACACTGTGACAGTGACAAGATCCTCATTGACTGTGACAGAGTGCATTAAGTTTTAAGACATAGCCTCAAAACGCATTATCGACTTTGAAATCCTAAACGAACGCAAATACTCCTGTTGTAGTACAAGTTCTGGCCCGTTTCTTTGCCGAGAGATTTTCAAAAGAAGGTGTGCACAACTTTTCAAAGAAATATAAACGCGCATGCGAGTTGCCTGAAAGCGCAATAGACTAGAAGCTGTGGTAACAGCTTAGCACCCGTATTTTCAATGGGTCCTAAGTTATGATGAAGTGTAACAAACTGTTTTTCTTTAAATGTAAATGAAACCAAACAAGATCTATCCTCCCAAACTAAAAAAGAATTTGCCATATCAGTTCAAAAATGCATGAAGTAACAAGCATAAAAAAAAATAGCGAAGCCTCCTGCTTCTTTTTAAAGCTGGTTAAAAATACTGTTAAGTTGTCACTATAACTTCTAATTAGTTTACTACTTTGAATTAGTTTAAATATACTTAATATATTATATAATTACTTAAGTGTTTAGACTATGTTCTGATTCTCTGATCCGATTGCAAAATATTAAACTTTGAAATATTAAGTTTGGTTAGACATGTGTGTTTTGACCCTGTTTTGCTTTTTTTCGTGCTTAAATTCCATCAAATCCTCAAGCCGGGTATCCAGATATTCACTTCTACTCGATCGCCACGGTGACCGTGTTCGTAAAGTGAAGTTGTAATTGAGGTGGTGACTCTAATGAACGACCTGACACCCGAACCATGAGCTATGACCTTAAGTGTGCCCCTCGCCAGCCCCTACAAACTAAACTGTTAACTTAAAAAATCTGAAAACAATTATGATGGTATATTAGCGGACTAAATGGGAGAGTATCTCAATTAGCTCTATCGAATTTTCATAGAAATAATCGTTAGTTTGATCTTCCCTCTAGAATCTTCTCTAAGATCTGTTTTATAAACATTACAGAACTAAAACAGAGTCGACCGCGAGTACTGAAGTACTGAAGCCGGTTTTAAATGATACCGGCGCTGATGAAAATCATCCCGCTTTTGTGATAATAGAAATTAAACTAGCAAGACCATTGTATAAAGTTGTCATACCAACTCGTGTATTGGAGTAAGTGGTTTATATTAAGTATAAGACGTAACGAACAATTTCTCTGTAGTTAATATGACGAATGCCTTCTTTGGATCCCCTTTAAATATTTAACGGGGATCCAAAGAAGGCATTCGTCATATCTGCTATCTACTAATATTTTTTAATTAAAGCTATAAATAAAGAACGTTACTTAATTAATATAATCAAACCAATATTTTAGGCTAGCTCTAGCTGTAAAATAAACGATTTGTATTTCAAATTATCAGACATATATGAAAATCCTACACCGCCAGCACACACAAGCAGTTGACGACACTACAGATTACAAATTATTTATAATAGTAATTTAATGACTTAAAATTATGCTAAGTTCTATAATTTCGTCAGTTAATACTATTGTATGGCGACTGTGGTAAGATCGTATCACCCACAATATCGGTGATAGTTTTATGAAATACAAGAATGTTGACGAAATTGAAGGTTAACCATAATGTAGATAAATATTTTAGTCATAAATATATGATTTCAGAACAGATATTGCTAAAATGTTGACCACAGCGGAAGCTATGGGTCCAGTTAAGCGTCGCTGCTTCGGACGTATTGCTTTCGCCCAGAAATGGCAGTCCTCGGTCCAACTTGCTGCAACTGCTTTAAGAAGAGTGCCTTATTTCGGTATTTGCTAATATTATTTTATTGATTGAACTATAAATCGTATAACTGCAATAATCGTGATGACACGATATATTTATTTAGAGAGATCCATCATTATTTATATGTGCTCAAAAGAAAAGAGAGATAAGATGAAATCTCAACATATTACATTTTATCGGGTTGTGCAAATAAACTTAATATTAAATTTGACATGAGAGAGATGGGGTTTCACTAAATTTTACCAAGGGGAGAAGAAAACCAATTAAGGAAAACAGCAGATCTGTATATTATTAAAGCTATATTGTGAACAGCTATGGATGAGTTAAACAACATTCAAGATCAATTATCTCTGGAATAAATAAATTTTACAGGCACAACTGAGTTTTCTGTATTCGTGCGTCAACTGAGTGAAACTAAAACTCGAGTAGAACTTACAACTACATGTTGGCAAGATGGGGCCCTTTTTGTAAACAATAACTTTGTCCTGCAACAATACTTGCATTCTGATGAAATATTTGAAGTAAGTAATAATGTATTACGGAAACAACAGTTTAGATACGTAAGAAAAACAACGAAATTTTTAGAGAACCTGTATAAATTATGGTTATCAACAAGAATTAGAACTAGGCCTTTAAACATTCACGTTCAATTATATATTTTTTGTACACATACAGAAATTGACGTGATCGTATAAAAGGTATTACATGCCTTTGAATCACCTGGCGTTATGACCTGCCTATTAATTTTTTTATGACATAGCACATAACTTTGCCTGCACTTTCGTTTATTAGGAAATGGTAATGATGGCCCACGCTTGTCTCGTAAGGCTTGCATGCGATAATCTCCTAGAGGGTAACCAACAGGAAAAAGAGAAAAACCCAGTACTGAAGGCGGCTAGGCAAGCAAGACAAATGCGAGACAATCACCATGCCATGGATCTTTACTTGCAGGCAAGAATACCGCTAATCACAATCATTTTTATACACCTACACAGAATTTAAAAAATTATGGGTAAAATTCCCCTATTCTATACCATATTATTTGGAAGAAAAATAATACTTTATCTCTTGAATTTATTGTAAATAACACTACATTATTATCGATGTAACGAGGAACGTGATGAGTGAGTGGCTAAACGGTCTTCAGTATGGTTCTCGAGAGATACATACGTCAATGTGGCCCTTCACCTCACTGTGAATTATAAGTAATTAATTTTATATAAAAATTCCATAAGTAATTAATTTTACTTTGTTTTGTTCGGAAAACCAACAGTATAAATAACGTAAGGTAAACATTATAGTCATGTAACAACGAAGCTATTAACGAATACTTGTGGTATTCGCAAGTAGATAGGAGAAGGAGATATGAATTTAAAAATGTCAAGTATTCTCAGTCCTCTTTTCTTGTATTTCTGATCCTTAATACTCTAGCACAACATATGCAACCAAAACTAAGAATTTAAGTTAACTGATAACTTCATTTAAAAGTTTGTTACTTAAATGTTTTTGTATATACTCAGGTAACTGTGAATAGTCCTCGTGATGCCAACGTTTGGAGAGAACTATCTACTTGTCTCAAAGATATCGATAGAGACTGGGCCAGAGTCACCCTTTATAATTCTATTTTACTAAATCCACGGCATCCACTTACGTAAGCACTCATACATATTGTAGAACAAAGATATTCTGAATCATTTACTGTTAAAACAGAAAGGAATTTGAAACATCGATTTACTTTTGTGCAACAACAATTGTCTATTGTCACATAAATATTTTGGAAACCTTTTTTATTATAGAGAGTTTATTTGATATTTAAAAACATCTCTATTTGGAGTAGACGTTTTATGTTTTAATCACATGCTTTATAAAATACTAGCTGACCCGCGCAACTTCGTCTGCGTCTCTCAATAGTAATAAATTTTCTCCGTTTTTGAAACATTCTTCATTGGTGCTCCGCTCCTATTGGTCTTAGCGTGATGATATATAGCCTATAGCCTTCCTCGATAAATGGGCTACCTAACACTGAAAGAATTTTTCAAATCGGACCAGTAGTTCCTGAGATTAGCGCGTTCAAACAAACAAACAAACAAACAAACAAACTCTTCAGCTTTATAATATTAGTTCAGATATAAACGGCACCGCATGTTAGTCAGTTTTTCGAATAAAAGTTTATTAACACGAACCAGAAAAACAAACCAAATTCTACATTTCTTTACTTAGTATAAGTCACCTGCTCTCTTTCTTTCCCTATAACTTTTGCAAAATTACCCAACAGTAGAAGCATGTTACTTATGCTATTTAATGACGTGATACTTTACAGATCGCATTGTTTTCCCTGATAGCCCTTGCCTTTAGGAGTGATTAGACTTCACATCAACACATCAACAGCCTATACTAGTCCACTGCTGGACATAGGCCTTCCTTCTCTTTGCAGTGCTGTTTTTCTGTGTAGTTTGCTCCTTTAGTCGGCTCTTACGACACCCACATGAGCATAAGATCATATGAGGGTCTTTAAAGGCGTATACTACCTTCTAATTTTTGACATGTGTGCATATTACGTTTCTAAATCGGAACTTTTTATCCTTAATATTTATATAGTATGACACGTTTTATTTACCTTTACCTTACATTTCGATCGACCTGAAGGCCTATTGTGATTTTATTTCACCTCAACTCTTTTGATGGCGAGCTCGTTTGGCGTTGCGATTGGTGAAGAGTTCGAATTAGGCCAATCGCAACTCCGAACACGGAGACAATGACGATCGAACTGATATGAAATAAACTCACACTTGGCCCTCTGCATCGTTAATGGTTTTAAAACATCACATGTGTCCATTCCATCTGTTATATAGCCAAGAACCGTACGAATAATAATACCCACGTATTCAAATCTGCATTCTCATAAAATTTTAATATTTTTGCAAACTGTTGTTGACATGCAAGTAAGTTTGTTATTTCTTATCTATAGTCTTCTTTCTACCTGCGGTATGGTGTATGAAGAAGATCCAGTCGTTGCTGAGCAGTTCTTCGTCGCTCTTATGGCTTTCTATCCATACTGGGTAATGGGCTGGATCATTGCTAGTGTTTACTACTACGACCGTCAACAATTCTTGATCTACGAGAAAATTATGAAAATTGTTCAAAAGTAAGTTTGGCGTGCCAATGCTATACGATGATAAATCATCATTTAAGGTTATATTTTCTCCGTATATTTTGACGCCTTAGTTTGTTTTATATTGAGACGTCTTCGGTAGTAGTATGAGGATTTCAAACGTAAGGAAGCCTCCAGACAGCACACCGCGTCGTGGTCCTTGGGATTAAAAGTGTAGTGTTCAAAATGTAGATTGTTATGGATTAAATTCAATTCAATTCTTTATTCAGTAAGCAATATATAAGCATTACAGCGTTCACCCCATTGCTTATATCTATAATAATTTTAATAAAAATAAACTACATATTATTACAATTACTAAACTCAGACCAACAAAAATAAATAACATAATTTGTAAACAAAAACAACCTCACGTTAACTTAGGAACTACAAAATTACTCTGAAGTGCTATGGGAATCAAAAAATATGTGTGCATCCGGACTACATTGTAGAATCTCATTGATAAGCCTAATTGCTACAGCAGTGGGACTGTTGTCTCTTTGGATATATAATAAACACAGTTTAACGTAAAGAGAAATTCTCTGAGAAATACAAAATATATTGAGAAACTAAGGAAGCCGTAAACAGTTCAATTATTATTTTAACCAGAAGTCAACGAGAGGGGCAAACAGAGGAGATTCCTTACGCCCGCGGATGGGAGCGAGAACTTGGTGATTGGTGGGATTCTACACAACTTTTGCCAGGAATGAGCCCTTTTTACGACGCTGCGGATGTGTTGCTCAGATTACGATGTATTGCTGTTAGTAACTTTTTTCTTGGCTAGGATTGGTTATATCTGACTAAAACTAGTACATTCAAAAATAAAAAGAGTTTACATAATAGATTAAATTCGCTCAAATAAATACTTTTCTTTCAATAATTATATAATAAATAGAGCAAGTTAATCAATAGTTCGATCAAGTTTCGGTTCAGAATTCCGATATAGAAACTAATTTGATCAAAACTGAACCCGATTCAGAAAATTTAAGTATTATTAGATAAAAAGCTAATTCATAGACGCTCATATTAATAAAAGATAAAGAGTTATCGTGCCTTGAATCAAGGAAAATATTTTTCGAATATTTTTGTAACAGAAAAAACTGCTCCAATAACTTTTTAATTTTAACCCTTTTATTTTTTGTATGACTAGCCACTTAAAATTCTGTATATCCGAAACCCCCCTTTTAAGGTACTGCTTACGCCCAAACACATCACGTCAAAACGTTGGATATATAGGTCGAGGCCAAGGTACCTACTATGTACTACATAAAATAATCGATGTTGCCTCAAATCGTTCCATTAAACTGCTTTTAAGGCACACGTTGTTTTAAGAACTTAACTGAACAGAAGTTGCTTTTGGTCCATGAGTTTGGTTGTTGGATTTTTCTACTTGAGTGCTAAGTGTCCTTACACGTATATTTTTAGTTGGCAGAATTATGTTTAGCCCGTTCGTTGTCTCAAGCTGGAGAGTCGGCGGTGTATTATCACATGGTTGCGCTCTGTTGTCGCTTACGTGGAAAGTTCAAAGAAGCTCTGTGCCATGTTCAAGTGGGCATCAATAAATACGGAGATGTAAGTTTTCTAATTAATTTTATTAATGTACACGAATAATTATAATAATTCACATACTTTAATTTTACAATTTCTAGGTACTCTATTTGAAGACCTTAGAGGCAGAGTGTTACCATATGCTTGGTAACATTTCGGATTCTATGGCGTCTTACGAAAAATGCAGTACCAGTAGATGGCCATACACGTATTAAATTATTATTTTTAATTATTCTAAATACTATAATGTAATAAAAACATTCTAAATACTAAAATAAACCATTCCAAGCTCTTTATAGTCTTAGTTCTGCTATCATTCGTTTCGTTTCGTTTAGTACATTTATTAATACAGTAAATGATGTAAAAAATTTAATCAAACATTATTTCTAAAACAGGGTCATTCCAAATTGAAAATATTGTGACAAAACTGATAATATTACTCGCTTACAGAATATCTTACTCACTGAAAACAAATAAAAAGAGACTCACAATGAGGCAATTAAGTTTAGACTAGTTTAACAATTGGGAAAACTGCGAATTTAACTCGGCATAGTTTTGCTTTACCTACAGAATGTGTATATCGTCTCTCAAATCGCAGCTTTTAAAATATTAATACTTAAGATTTCACAATTTTTCCATTATTTCAGGGTGCTGATGACGCTACCATTATATACGGATCCTATTCAGCGCCGTACAGTTTTATGGGACCTGGCACGTCGACATCCCTGTGCATATACATGGATGGCACTACCAGATACCAACACAACGGTATTACATATATTATCTTATTTGTTACATTTGAAAGCGAAAGGGCTAGGCCTCCGGTAATCTGACTCACTTGGTGAAAAACCAACGAAAAAATTGCTTAACATCTGTTTAATGTTGAAGCATCATTCTAGTGGAGCCAGCCACTGTAAAATGAAATTTTTCTCCTATAGATAATATATGTCAACATAATTTAAAATGTCACTGTACAGTTATTTTTGTCACAGACTCCATTTAAATCCGACGAGGCTGATAACAATAAAAATGAAAAGCCCACCAGCAATCCGAATGCAATCGCTTGCGCAGTTCAAGCTCTCAAGTGCGACAGACTGGCAGGACGTGCATGGGAAGTCCTCGCAAATAGCGTAAAGCCCAGTGCCAGACGACATTATTGCCTTAAAATGGCGTCCTTAGTTAGTATTTTTATTCTTTTACTGAAAATATTTATGTTATTCGACTCTAAAGAAGACCACTATTGACTAGCTTTCAGCAAAATAGAAACTGTTTATTTCGAAAAGCACGTTCGCTATTCAAGAATTGTTGCACTTAATGGAATTCGTGTTTTTAATATTTAATCATCTTTTCTTATGAGATAAATCTATATCACTATTATAAAACCGAAGTTTGTTTGTTTAGTTGAACGCAGTAATCTGGAACTACTAGTTCGAATTAAAAAATATTTTAATATTGGATAGCCCATTTGCATTGAAAGAAAATGTTTCGAAAACGGTGAAAATTCATTCGTTTTAGGAGACGCAGATGATTGAATTGAATGAATTGCACATGAATTGCATGGGTCAGCTAGTATTAAATAATTAACAAGGTTTATAAAATCTATGACCACTAGGGATGTTCTATTTAATATCTAAAACGTAAGCTACGAACTACGTCAGTAATAGGAGCATACGTTAGAAATAACATTAATAAATTGACAAAAGCTTTTATTTCAGTGCGGCGTCAAAGTAAACAAGGATCATGAGGAGACAAACGCAGATTCGAGGCAATCCTCATGTTACCGACTAGGGACTGCGATAACCGAGTGTCGCTGTCGCGCATGCGAGCGCTTACGATTATAACAACATTATTAATTAATTTTATCCATAATAATTATATGTTTCTTGTTCTAAATGTCATGTTTTTCTTTTCCTCCGTTTCTTTAACTTATTTTTTTTAGATAATGTTCATGGATCCCTCCATTGACGGAAACCCTGGACCCGAAGTTCCCGGGAAGAGTGGCAGACACGCTCTTTCAAAGGGTTAAAGACAGTCCCTTGATCCCTCCTTCACAATCGGACCGGCAGCTCTGGTCCGACGAGTATGAGGTGACGGAGAAAGAGCTGGACCGAGTCGTGCGGCGGTTGGCTTCCCGCAACACTGTGCCCAGACCTGATGGTATTCCAGATTGGGCGCTGGTGGTAGCTCTGTCGGTACTAGGGAACAAACTGAGGCGGATTTTCACGGATTGTCTTAGCTTCGGTGTCTTCCCCCTCGGCTGGAAAGAAGCGAGACTGGTGCTCTTGAAAAAGGAAGGAAGGACTGCAGATTCTCCCTCTGCGTTCCGACCGCATGCTTGCTGAACGAGTCGGGGAAACTCGTTGAGAGGGTTATCTCAGATCGTATTGGCGAGCACCTGTCGCGAGTGGGCCCTGATCTGTCGGACTGCCAGTTTAGATTTCGACGGGAGCGTTCTACACTGGACGCTGTCAGTGTCAAGGTCAGTGGTCGCGTTCGCTCCATGTCGGAGTCTGCAGTCCAATCATGGGTGGTGGCGTGTTAGCCTTGATATCGTCAACGCGTTCAGCACACTCTGTCTTTAAAAAAAAACACCCCAGGGAGGCGATAAGGGCGGCCCTTTACATGAGGTGCCGCTCTAACTGCGGGCTGTCATTGGGGCCTATCTGCGCGACAGGACAGTGAAGTTTATCGGTCGGAACGGGGTGGAAAATCGGTGAGAGGTGTGTTGCAGCTTTCCCCAGGGCTCTGTTTTAGGCCTTTTGTTGTGGAAAATCGCATATGATGTGGTCCTTCGCACCAATCTGCCCTCTGGCCTCAGTATCGTCTGCTATGCTGACGACACCGTAAACTGGCTAGAGGGTCACACTTTGATGACATGCTTCGGCTCACCGAGAAGGGGTGGCTAGTGTCGTGGGAAAGATTCATGAGCTGGGTTCAGACCCAGCTCATGAAAATATCGATGTTGGTGTTGAGAAGTAACTTACCTCCAATGTCATTGAGTCCGCAGATCCTGCCCTTCCTAATCCACGGCTCCTGAATTAGGGCTACGGTGTTGGTGTTTACCTCCAGCACCCTGCGTTGGTTAGCCTTTGCTGTCTGACTATGCTGGAGATTGGTCTAAAATAAGACCAAAGCAAACAAAATATGTATAGAATGTATCAGTTAAAAGAGTTAGCTCAAAAGTGGAACATTGTTAGGAATGCTCCCCATGAAGAGAAACAGTAACTTTTTTAAAACGAGAACTATAAAACTCATTTTTTCAATTTATTTGTCGCCCGATTAGTTAAATTAGACTAGTTTAAAATACTCCACTAATTTCTTTGCATATTACGAATCTTTCTCTAGATACGTCCAAATTGGCGAAACAGGTTTGTTTTCCATAAAATATTAGCAGAAATGAAGTAGAAGAAGAAGAAACTTTGTGACACCCACCATTTCGAACGAATGACATTATTTGGCTCGTCATGTATTAGTCAAGTATTAATTCATTTTGCTGTTGTTACGATTTGAATGCATCCTTTCGCTTGTGTTTGTAATCAAACAATTTTGTTTAGTTTATACTAAGATTTGTGATCTACTACTGATACTGAACTATAATGGAATATATTTAAAAGTTTAGGGTTTTAACTGTTCCTTTAATAAAAATCAGACCACCTCTTGATGTTCTTATGAACATTTATACTGTTCCTTAATTCGAAATCTCTACTTAAATTAAGAAAAACTAAGAGTTAAAAAAATGTATCTATGAGATATAAAAAAATAACTTTAGATGTTTCGTTATCAATACAACTTCTTATGCATCCTAACCGCGCCTTCACTCTAATTTTATTTCAGACACTATCTGGTACTCGCGACAACGTTTGCGTGGAATTTGAAAAGCGCTGCCTTAGTGTGTGTAGGGCTCAGGTACGATTCCCGGATCGAATTTTTTTTATAGGGTTTTTCTGAAAGGAAAAATAGCCTACGTTACTCCTTATATAGACAGCTACCTGGTAGTTAAATATTTTCAAAATCGGTCCAGTCCTTTGAAGCTTACCCGGAACAAACAGACACGACAGACAGACGAAAAATATTTAAACTAGTTTTCAGGCAGAGGTATTGTGTAAATAACCGTGTGAGCATAAAAAAAAACCTATTATTTTGACATTACAAATAGACACTTCAATTTAATTTATTTGTATATAGAGAAGTAAGTCTATACTTATCTAAAGGTGTCTGAGTAAGAGTACACTTTCTCAATTTAGAAGCGCCGTGGGGGCACGGCGCAAAATTAAGCATTTGCCGGATATTTTATTCCATACTTACTCGGAACATGTTTTCGTTACAATCCAATAAAAATATCACAACTCTCATAAAATACGTGATTTAAAAAGTGAACTAAACTTTAAAAAGTGAAGTCTTACTGACACACTCTTTATATAAAAAAATGAATCTATTATAAATCTGCCCGACCAATTTCCTTATTGTCACTAAGCATTCTAAATCATCCAACTTTTACCCGTCTCAAGTTATAAGTCATTTCCTCCAGTACATTTCATAAGTTTCATAGTTTTCTTTGTTTATACATCTAGTTCTAATTGAGGTTTGTACACTGTTCGTTTTGCTCTAAGAACACCGGCTGGAACAGAATTTTTCTTTTTTTTAAACTTAGTGCTGCATCGCAGTACGGGTCCTCCTCATATATTATAATAGCTTTGCGTTTAGTGTAACTCAACCCGTTTATGTTACTGTTATGAAAGGCTAGCTATAAAACAAGTTTGTCAATTTGTTCTTTTCAACAGAGTACGAAAATTATCAAAGTTATACTCTGCAGTGTTCTTAACAGTTCGTCCCTACGCGATAATATCGTTATTATTAACCATTGTAAATAAATACATACGATACCGAACTAAATAATACTGCAGCAATGGTATTGGGAGCGTAAGTGAATTGAAAATTCTTGCAGCGTTTTAAAAACATTTATAACAACTATAGTTTAACCAGCGCTCGGAATTAGACATACTGCGTCTTCTACGTTAAAACACTATGTTGATTATTATAGGTGTTTATGCATCGCCTTGGATTTTCTACCCCTTTTGCCGGACTTCAAGATGTTTCATCAATCTGAAATTCAAACTTAAATTGTCTATACATATACGTCTATGCACATATTTCTATACATAGCTATACATTACGTCTATACATATACGAATACATAGAGAAGATATGTTTAGCGATTTAGAGATATTCGTGTAGCATTCTAATTACACCTATCAGCTAAACGAAACGCTTGTTTTATGATTGTGTCTCCGTCAGAAGTGTTTTTTTTTTATGTTAGAGGGGGCAGACGAGCAGGCGGGTCACCTGATGGAAAGTGACCATCGCCGCCCATGAACGTCTGCAACTCAGGAGTCACAAACACGTTGCCGGCCTTTTAGGAAGGAGTACAGAGTCTTTTCTTGAAGGTTTGAAGGTCGTATCGGTCCGGAAGTACCGCAGACGATAACCCGTTCCACAGATTGGTTGTGCGGGGAAAAATTGTCTCGAAAAGCGCACAGTAGTGGAGTGCCAACTATCCAGGTAATGAGGATGAAAACTTTGACGTGTGGAACGATGGCGGAAATTTGCGGCTGGTATTAGTCCAGGAGCACTCTCCATGATATATGCGATAGAGAATGCAGAGTGAAGCCACATCTCTACGTAACGCCAAGGGATCGAGATCGTGTGCATTGAGTCTAGTTCAAGTCTGCTAACTGAAATTATGTTTCGTATAAATTTCAGGGTATCCGGTATTGGTATCTTCCTATATGTCATGCTCTGGATAACAAAGAAATTGAGTGATCTACCATCGCCACCAACAGACCCACCCATTACTACGGAGCCGCCGACCACAATCTTTGATCGACATCGTTTATGGACAAAACCCATACCCCTTCAGGGATGAGTGTCCTAAATATTGTAGTTACATAAACTTAATAATGTAAGTCCAAACCAATATTTATATGTAACGACGTGCTTTGTAAAATATGATCTAAAAGAAAAAAATAAAAAATTATATGAAAAACAAACTTTTTGCTATCTGTTTCTATTACTCAAAAAAAACCGCTAAGCCTCGTTCAAATAAATTATGAACGATGTATCTATTGTACCGGCTTAAGGGTGTGGCGACCGGGTGATCGATTGAGGCATCACGCGTCTTTGAACCCTTGTTTTGTCCTTTACCATAGGAAATTTGAGAGCACTTCCCTAACTGCCTCAACCAGAACCAGTCAAGCAAAACTAGTTTCGCGGGCGTTTAGGGGATAAGGCCAAATCAGCCTCGAAGAAGCTGGGTTTGTTGAATATATTAAGAGAATGGAGACAGTATTTCACTTTGGCCCACCGCCTACGACTTCATAATGCATGTCGGCTGCATATAGAATACCGCTCTCATATCTGGGCACTTCACTCCAGTAAATACCAGCTACTCTCTGGACCACATTCAACGGAGATCGACTCAAATCGTCAGTTGACAGGATTTTTCCTCCTAACATTGTATTGAGTTGTAGTGGGCTACAAGAACATAATATAAATACAGTTACTTCTTCCTATTAAGAGAATCCGCGTTTTGTACAGGTTGCAGTCCGGTAAAAACAGTGCAATTGGATACGTCTGGTTTTTTTACAATTTTGTTCATAGCTCGATTCGTTACATGTATTTTTAAATGCAATAGTGCAGTCTGCTTTCTGTTAATTTGTGTCTCTAAATCGTATGCATAGTAATGTGTATTACTATTATTTATTTATTTATAGTTATTACTAGTTTTGTTGTGTAGTATAATAGTGATTCTAGTGTAAAAACAGTTCATTGCGTCAGTAGAACC